TATACACTGTTTATCAGCAGATTGCTATATCTTGTTACATGATGTTTGAATATGTTTTGTATTTGTATGTGTTGAGGCCAGGGGTCCTTAGAGTAACTTTTTATAAAATAACAAATATGCTGATGTTACTAGGTGGAGTTGAACCTAATTAGATTAAGAATTTTAGGGCTGGGGATTTAGCTCAGTGGTTCTGCCACCTGCCTCCCAAGCACAAGGTCCCGAATTTGATACCCGGTACCAAAAAAAAAAAAAGAATTTTAGAGACTCACCTCATCCAGATTGAATATTAGATAATCTTAGGTGAAATTATCTCTTCTTATCTTCAGCAGTGTATTACAAGTTAATATTTAAAGATGATTAAAATTGTATTATTTAATTTGAGTTTTTGTAAAAAGAAAAGCAATAATAGAATTCATCCAGACTTAGATGTGCCTGCTTCATAACCTCCCTCCCTCCCCCACCCTCATATTTATTTGACAGGTACACTTAGAGCAGCATCTTAGTTACTTTTTCTCATTGCTGAGATAAAATACCCAATACTCAAAGTTAAAGGAGGAAAGGTTTATTTAGTTCACAGCTTGTAGAGGTTTCAGTCCTTAGTCTGGCTCTGAGGCAGGGTGGCATGGCAGAGGAGAAACAGTTTATGGTGGGCAGAAGACAGCTAAGCAAGCAAAGCACCCAGTGGTAACAAGCCTCTTTCTGTCCCTTATATTTTATCCAGGCCACTACCCCTCAGGGCTGGTAGCACTCACACCCTTAATCCTAGCACCTTTAATCCTAGCATTGCACCATGAATCAATCTCACATCACACACTCTAGATTCAGCCTCCTCTGAAAAGCCCCACTTATGACTGCATGAGTCTTTGGGGGTACATCTAGACAGAACTATAATAAGCAGTTAAAAGACATTATAGTTACTGTATTGTATCATGTTATCCCATGTTAAAACACTTCATCATTTTACAGATTTTTTTCCCCTCTGTTAACACTAGCATTGTTATTGCCTCTGCAGCTGGTGACTGTTACCGAAGGTTCATCATGTGCTGGGGTTTGCAGCCTTGATATGCTCTGTCTTATTTTCAGCAACCTTGTTTGGTATTTTGTATTTTTGCATCCATTTCATGGTTAAGGAAGCTGATACAAGAGAGATCAGGCACCTGCCCCAGGATCATGTCCATCACCAGGATATGATTTGCATCAGGCTTCCAACTCCAGAGTCTGTCCAGCCTAACGCAAATGAATGAATTCTCAGCTTTTTCATTTGCATTTAGGTAGTGGAACATACTGTCTTCATATCTTTAATTTACCATCTGTCTGACTTTTGAAAGCCTGTTGTTATGATTCTTAGATGGAGACTGAGAACATTTAATTTACTTTAAGTTTTTATTTTGTTTTTTGTTGTTGTTTTTCCAGTACCGGGGATTGAACTCAGGACCTTGTGCTTGCCAGGCAAGTGCGGTGCCACTGAGCTACATCCCCAGCTCTATACTTTTAAGTTTTTAAAAAGTATCATGATCTTGTGAATTTTTATTTTCCCTAGAAATATAGCACATCATTTTTATGAATATTCTAGGGCTCTGTTTTAATATAGAGATTTGATTGGCCTTTTTCTTCTAGTTTGCTTTCTGCATATATGATTATTTTAAAAAATCTATTAAGTGTTATTTCAGTAGCACTAATATTTGACATCTGTCCTAAAATACTCTATTATATATGATCTCAGTAATTGAAAACTATCAGTTTAGGTATAGAAAAAAAGTTTTTTGAGATATTAAATGCTTTTGTATTTTTGCTAACAGGTAATTGAAGATATATATGAGAAAGAAATTGTCAAATCCAGGTAGGAATGAGTTTAATTTTTATACATTGAGATTGTGGGTAGACCAAGTTGGATCTCATCCGAGCTTCTCACAGTGGTCATAACTTGAAGCCTTTTTCTCTTTTGTATTGCTCATTGAGACAGTGGTGGCTAGAAAAATGTTATATGTAGGTGCTAGAGTCATAATTTGTTTGCCCTTCTGTTGTTTGGCTCAGATTAGAGGGACTAAACCCAGGTTTATTTCTTTTTTTTATATATATATTTTTTGGTACTGGGGATTGAACTCCTGTCCTTGCGCTTGCGCAGCAGGTGGCGAAACCACTGAGCTAAATCCCTGGCCTCAAGAGTTTATTTCTTTTTTGAAAGAATGTGAGGGAAAGTAAGCACAGAAATTTTATTTCCATCTCAGTTATACTGAATTTCTGATCGTATCTTGTAATTCTAAGAAACATTATTAAAATTATAAAAGTAAAAAAAAATCAAAATAATAATATGTGCATAATATATAAAATACATAATTTTAAAAATCAAAGAAATAGTTTTTTTTGAACAATATATGGAATAAACTAGTAAATATTCTTCCCTGTCCCTTAGCCCCCAGTTTCTCTCTTTGTGTATCTTTTCTATTCATTGTCCCTCCCCACACAAAAGGATGTATACTTTGTATGCTAGTCTCTGTTTTTTAAAAAAATTAACATACCTTGAACTTTGTTCCATACATTCACACGTAGGTATATATCCTTGGTGAGTTTTTTTAATGGAGAAATATATATATATATATATATATATATATATATATTTAGAAGTAACTAGCTGGGTTCATTTTAGATATTCTCAGTTTTGTTGGCATCATCCAAACAGGCTCTTCACAGCCTGTTTGATTTAGTGCTTTTTGCCTTGACATCCACAATGAACGCCAGTGTGTTGTTGTCTATTTTCTTCATGGTCGTCTCTGTGGTCAGGGTAAACTTGAGATTGGCAGGCTTGATGCTTGTTTCCCAGCAAGTATTTTAAAAAGGTGGTTGACTAAATATATGAATGTTACACATTTCATTAAATCTTGTACTTGATATTTTTCATGTGTTTGACTCTTAAAAGGTATATTTTGCTAAGTATCTTGAAGGCAAAATTAGGACAGTGTTAAAATAGGAGACTCTTTTTGTTTTAATGGTTGATTCAAGAGCTTGTAGTGATAGGCAGGATCAAGGCCTTGTTAAGAATTTTGTTCTTTATTTGAAAAGCAATGGAAAACCAGTGAAGAGCTTTTAGGACAATGCTGACATTTGACAAAGAGAATTTTAATTTGAAGGGGGCAAGAGGTAGGAGATTAGACAGGTATTGTAGGAGTCAGATCAAGATCATGATGGTTCAGACTTGTGTGCTAAGTTAGGAAGGAGATTTGCCAATTTGACAAAGGTGTAAGTAAAGGGACTGCATGGTTAGATGCAATGGGTAAAAATAGTGGAAGAATCAAGGATGACTCCAAAATGTTTTGCTTAAGTTGCTGGGTGATTAACAGTGCCATTACTGACAGTGCCTTCATTGTTTGGGATAGGCTTGGGTATAGATCATCAGTTCAGTTTTGCGTGTCTTGAATTCCAGATGCTTAAGAGCCATGCAGATGGAAGTGTAGAATAAGTAGCTGGGTATTTAGGTATACAACTCCGAAAAGAGTGGATTGAACCTACTTTGAATCCACCATCATTTCAGTGTCAAAAGTAAAACAGTAAACAGAATGGATAAAGTCCCCTCCCTCTTAGAGCTTTCATTCTAGCAGGGGAGACCCACAAAAATGTACAGCTGTGATATAATTCAGGAGACACTAAATGCTATAACTTAAAGTTAGTTGGGAGATAGTAACAGGGCTGCTACTTTAGATAGAGTGATCAGACAAACTTTCTCTAAAGATAGGAAATTTGAGCAGCTTTCTGACTTTGTCTGAGGGTGAGTGTCCATAAAATTGCCTGAGGAAATTTGACTAAAGGTAAGTAGATAGACACATTCTAGGATCCCCCAGCCCCCCGATAGAAGATAGATAGAGATATATAGATGTGATGTGGTATTTAGGGCATATCTAGGATTCTTTTTTCTTCTATATTAAGAGAATATCAATGTGACAGTTACATTGAATCTTCAGAAGAGGTTTTCACACTTCTGGATAGTAATACTGTGTTAGTTTCGGTTTAGTTATTTTTCATGTAAATTTTCTCTACTAGTATTTCTCCTCAAAGATAATTTTTTTTTTTTGGTACTGGGGATCGAACTCAGGTCCTTGCGCTTGTGCAGCAGGCGGTGAAACCGCTGAGCTAAATCCCTGGCCCCAAAGATAATTTTTGTTACAAAATAACTAACACCCACCAGAGATTTTTTAAAAGGATCCTAGACATCTCCTGTATACCACATTATATTATATCTATATATCTATCTTTTATCATGGTGAGGGGAGACTGGGCTGCATTGTTAATTTATTTGTTTATTTCTTAACTATCATTGATGGGACTAAAAAAGATTTACAATACTTACAATAGCCATTTTCTAATCTTACACGTTTTTGAATACTTAAGACCATTTCTGTAGCACATAAATTGGAGTATGCATTTAAAAACTTAAATGATGAGTGTTTTACATTAGTGCCTGAGGAAAATGTTTGTTGAGCTCTCTTATCTTCAGTATTGGAAGAATGGCTTGTAGTATTTATGAACCTGTTAGTAGGCTATGAAAATACACAATTTATAGTTTAGTACTTAGTAAGCTTGTAGTGTTATGCGTTAGAGTAAAGTACTCATTATATACATTTTTTACACATCAAGCCTATTTTCCAGAAGGGAAGTAAATTAATCAGTTCTTAATAATTTTGTAATAATTTTACTTTTAGGATCTTAAAATCAGATCAATTTTAGAAGGCATTTTTATCCAGGCAACCAGTTAATCTGTGGTATATTATAAAATTGATGCCCTTTTTGCTGTTCTTGCCATTGTCATATTCGGCAAGCTTGTCTTAATGTATTTTTATCCAACTTCGATTTTAAAACATTAAAAAATAGTAATTGTTACTTCAGTGCTTTCTGTGAGCCACCTTCTCTTAGATGTCTTACATATTGTAGCTCTTTGGTCTCCACAATAACCATAAAATCATATGACTATTGTTCACCTTGTGGACGAGGAGACTGAGGTATACAGAGGTCAAATAACTTGCTTATGATGTTTCCCCATAGTTGGAGACACAGTCAGATACTAAACCCTGGTTTCCTGACTCTTACGCAATACTCTCTTCAAAATTAGTAAGACAAAGTCCGTTCCCCCAGAAGTCTCTTAAGTTAGACACTTTGGTGTGATTATTAGCAGTATTATGAATCTATCCAAGTGGTTCTTATGCTAAAAAAAGTGACTTAAGAAGCAATTTACTTTTGCCAGTTATTTAAAATGTAAGTAGACTTTTAAACTATGAATTATAATAACAAAAATGCCATAAAACAAATACATAAACCTATAAATTCTAATGTTTAACAACCACCTGGAATAAGAGAGAAAAACCTGAACTGTTGCCAGTGTCCCAGAAGTCCCCTACTTGTTCCTTTGCGTGTATGAAAAATGAACACTAGTTTTTGCTTTATTTTGAACTTGAAGTAAATGAAAGAATATAAATATATACTCTTGTGGCTGGCTTTTGTTCACTATTATATTTACTACTTATTCATTTAACAGTTCTGAAGTAGATAGTTCAGAAGTTCAGAATGGCAGGGCCCTTGTCATTGTCTTCCTGTAGTTTTTGTCTTTTCCTATGTGGTTGCAGGGAGGCCACCTCCTGCCCCAGTGTTTTCATACAACCATGTCCCAAGACAGGAAGCAGGGTAATTACAGCAGCAATGGGAGTTCCTTTGCATGTTTCCCTTCTCTTATCTTTATTAGTCTTAATGAGGTTACTGATAGTTAATGGACCTACTTTGTTCTACAAAATTATGGAACTAGGGAAGGATACAATGAAATGCATGTTAAGTTCTTTTTTTTTTTTTTTTTTTTGGTGCCAGGGATCAAACTCAGGACTTGCTCTTGTGAGGCAGGCGTGGTGCCACTGAGCTAAATTCCTGGTCCCAATGTTAAGTTTTTGACAGTGTTAGATATAGTGTATGTCCATAGAAAATATAGGTAATTTACAGAATACCTAAATCCACTTTCAAAAAATTGATATTTGTTATTATTGTTATAACTTTCATATGTACCTTCTCATGTGATGTCTCGTTGCCTAGGTGAGTAGTTATATCTTATATCTTACATGTGTACCTTTATTTGAGCTGGAGATCTGGAGTAAATCAGCAAGGGGTTATTTGTACTCTCCTGTCTTTGTGCTTTTGCATAATAAAGACCTTCATTCTTAGTAACTTGTTTAGGCAAACTAAGAGATCAGAAATTAGTGGGCTAGGATTTTGACAAGATTATGATGTCCTGGGATATACAAATTCATAATTCATATATATTTAATTTTCAAAGCTGGAAACTATTATCTGTAGCAGTGTTCTCGTCCAGCTACTTTATTTCTGATATTGCAAAGTGATGAAACTAAATTAGTGGCCATTTAAATCTGCCTTTGGAGGGGTGCCCCATGACTGTAGCATCATTTATTCATATAAAACAAGTTAATTTTATTATAGAAAGACTATGGTAAAGATAAATATCTGACGTTTCCTACAAAAAAATTCTTCAGTATTTTAGGCTTACTGTCAAGATTAAGGAAGTATGGGAAACATCTTTCACATTTGAGACATAGATGAGCCTATGAAATTAAAGCATATTGGTCATTTCTTTGGAAGGTGATACTCACTAGCTTTTGGCAGTTGTGATCTCAGATTAATTAATCTGATATGTCACTTAATTTTCAAAAGATTACAAATAAACTTGCATTAAGAACATGAAATGTTTGTATTTTCTATTTTTTAATGTTCATTATTTTCGTGTTTTTAGGTTTGCCATCAGAAAGATAATGCTGTTGGAATTTAGGTGAGTTAAAAGGCACTGCTTTGATAAAAGTTAAAGGTGAAGTGTGATTTAAGTTTTGTCTGCATCTTTTTGTGTATTTCTAAAAGTAGTTAAGATAGTTTTATAGCCCAGTATAGTAATTGATGTTTATAAACCTTGAAGGACAAGAAATGATTTAAATTATTTTTTGGAAATGAGAAATACTTAAATTTGTTTGGGAATATTTCCATGCATCTTAAAATAAGAGTTTTCTCATCTGGAGAGGAAAGTTTTAATCACTTTAAGAACTGGCTTTTGTAGACTACCTTGTAAATTAAGTATTACAAAGCCTATTTTTGATTAAATCTCTCTTTAGTTTCTGGAAGTGTTTTTTTCCTGATAGGAGTTGGTGCTAATGTCTAGACACATATAGTTGTGAAAGTATCCTTCATATTGTTTTCTTTGAATGATATTCGTCAGATATTTTTGTATTTTACTTTATAAAAAGATCCTTAAATAAGGGAATGTCCAGTGGTCTGATGATGGCAATTAGGTGTGTTGATGACCTTTGTTGTCTTCTCAACTGGAAAGTATAGGACTGTCATTCTTCAGAGTTATGTTTTTTTAATACAAATTTGTGGCAGGTAGCATTGACCTAAATTACAGGTATATTTTTATGAGTATAGGTCTTCAAACTGCTTTCAGCAGGTTGTAAATAATTACGTTTTTCTAGGTGAGTGATGCAATGGTGGTAATTAATGAAATATTCTGTGCCCCTTCACTTTTTACAGCCAGTATCTTGAAAATTATCTCTGGATGAATTATTCTCCAGAGATGTCCAGCAAGGCTTATTTAATGTCCATCTGCTGTATGGTGAATGAGAAGTTCAGAGAAAATGTCCCTGCATGGGAGGTAACATTTAAGTTACTTTGTAGCTTTCATATTTAAGCCACAATGAAGTAGCAGAACTTCTTACTGATAATAAATTAGAGCAGAACATTACCCAATAGTGAACTACTAAGAAAAATAGTGGGTATTTGAAAGATAATTTTTTTTAACTCTTTCTTCCAACTAATTTACTATGAATTTTTTTGTTTTGTTTTGGTACTGGGGATCGAACTCTGGACCTTGCGCTTGTGAGGCAGGTGCTGGAACCACTGAGCTAAATCCCCGGCCCAGTTTACTATGAATTGAAAAATGATGAGTGAGGAGTTGTTTGCTTTGTGCTTGAAACAAAGAGTGACATGGATTTTGAAGACATCAGGAGCTGGCAGAATGAAAGTTATGAGTGCACATAGATAATGTCAAAAGTCAAGGCAGGTGTTTATATGGTAATCTGTTTTCTTTTTGTCCCCAGCATGAGATTTATTTTTCCTTTTTGAAATTTCTAATGAACTAACATTTTCTTTTTGTATAGATTCTACAGAGGATTGTTCAGTGTAGGTCCAAAATGTAGGTTTTCTTTGGCCACCAAAGAATGTTTGGTTCCTTCCCTTCCAGTCATACTTTTTTAAATGAACAAAAGGCATGTGTACTTCACATTTTGAGAAAGTGATCTCTAAAGTGAGAAGGTGTTTGACATAAAGTTTAAAGTCTTTAAGATAAAACCATAGACAGTTCTTTCAAATATTCATTGAGTGACTGTAATCTTAAGCCACATTGGAGCTCAGAGTACTAACTATGAGTCTTAAGTCTTCTGAGAGATCCTAGGGATTTCATGAAATTGCTTCAAGCTAGCATAGAAGGGAAGAGGGAAGTTTTTTTGAGCCAGATAACTTGAACAGTTTGCATGTTACAAAGAACATGTTAATGATTAGGGTTTGAAATAGAGAAATGACAATACAGAAGTCCTCCTTATCTACAGGGGTCCTCAGTAGGTGCCTGAAACCTAGGATAGTACTGAAGCCTGTATATATTTTTTTCCTATACATATAATAAAGTTCCATTTATAAATTAAGCACAGTAAAAGATTAACAGCAGTAGTTCTTCTATTTTAGAACAGTTATAACAATATACTAGACTAAAATTGTCACCAATTTTATCATCAGTATTCTTGTGCTTCAGGGCCATGATTAAATTCCATTAAGGGTTACCTGAATGTAAGCATTGTCATGCCACAATAGTCAGTCTGCTAATTTAGGTGATTCATGAACAGGGAATATATACAGTGTGGCTATACTAGCCATAGGGATGATTCACATACCAGGGAAGATGGAGCAAGACTTTATCACACTACTCAGAATAGTGTGTAATTTAAAACTTGGGAATTGTTTATATCTGAAATTTTCCATTTAATATTTTCAGTCTGTAACTGAGCAGAGACACCTGTAATTAGGGAAAGTGAAACTGTGGATAAAGGGGGGGTACTGTTTTACAGAGTCAGAAGATCCACAACTTTTAGCAAATAGAATTGATTAGATTTGGTAGTTAACTGAAGTAGCATTAGTAAAGGGTGTTATTTTTCAATAACCAACCAAACTTGGAGAACTCAATATAAAAAAATTAGGGTGCCATTTACCAAGATAGGAGGAGAGGATTGAGGATACCTTGGAGAGTACAAAACCATCAAATGGAGTTTAGGACATTGAGTTTAAATTACCTGTGTAATATTTTGTTGGTCAGCTTCTCTGTTGCTGAGACAAAATGCCTGACATACACAACTTGAAGGAGGAAATGGTTCATTTGGCTCATTGTTTCAGAAATTTTGGTCCATGATTTGCTGATTCCACTGTTGTGGGTTTGAAATGGGGCAGAGCACTGTGGTGGAAGGGTGAGGTGGAGCAAAGCTACTCACTTCATAGCAGCCAGAAAGCAGAGAGCAGAGGAAGAGTGATAGAGAGGGAGGGGCCATGAACCAGATATAGTCCCCAAGGTTATGCTCCCATTACCCATCTAGAAACACCCAGAAGTGTGTTTCACGAATCCTGTAGGTGTGTGTCAAGCCAATCAAGTTGACAAGATACCACGCATTCCATTCTACTCCTTGTCAGCCTCACACCAAAACATATTTTAAACCATACTTAATCTCCAAATAAAGGCAATAGTAATAATTCAGCCTAACATGATAAAACTGTTGGCAGGTAACTAAAAACACACTAATGCCTTCCCCAGAGTCTGGACAGTACCAGCATTGTTCAGAAGTTCATATCTAAAGTCTCTTCTGAGACTCAAGGCAAACTCTATCTGTGAACAGATACAATGATATAGGGCAGTGATGGTGAAACTATAACGTGTTATTTTTTTTTTTAAGACAAAATATGTTAATGTATGAATTTTTTCTAAACTAAAACCTCAGTATTTTGAATAATTAAGTGCATTTTGAGTTGCACTTTGTGCACTGGTCTCTAAAAGGTTCATCATCACTGGCATAGGACAAATATGTCCATTCTGAAAGGGAAGAATGGAGGTAGAAAAAATAGGACCAAAGCAGAACTAAAACTCAATAGGGTAGACATTGAGTCCTGTAGCTCTGTGTCCAGGATCTGTGACCTCACTGCTGTTACCTTACTGGCCGAAGCCCACACAGCCTCTCTTGGGCTGGCTTCACTTACAGCCTGCTGCTTTCCTTGGTAGACATTGTATGTTCCTGGCATCTCCACCTTACGTGGGTCTCCACTGAATCCTTGACCTTACACCCTGAGTTTACTGCTTTACCTTCTCAAGGGCTTTTGGCAGGAACTCTTGATTGTCACATACTTTTGCTTCGCCTCCTAGGCCTTAGTTTGAAATCTGAGGGAAGGCTCTAGGACTCCATAACTTTTGCATTCTGCATGCCTATACAATCAGTGGCGTGTAGATAATGCCAGGGTTTACCTCCAGCAGGAGCCAGACCCCCTTGGATCGTGGTTGCAGCAGCCTTTTGTGTGCTGGATGGCTGACCATTGGGAAATGAATCCTGAGGAACTAATTCCCTAGGTGACCCTTATCAGTCCAGGGCTCTCTTCTCAAATTGAAGGTTTACCATTTTGCACACAGTGGGTAGGTTCTTGCTGGTCCCTGAGATAACCTCAAGACATCTTCCTCTCCTCATCTAGTGTACTGGATTCCTTTCTAATGGCACTAATCTCATCAGCAACCGTACCTCCTTTGGTTCCAACTTTACATGTGGTTTCTTGCAGGCCAAATTTTTTTTCAAAATTTTCTGATTTGCTTTTTGTTGCTGATTTTCACTATAAATCTGGCCAATAGCAGCCACCAGTACTCATGCCACAACTTGAACATTGGGCTGCCTTGAATGCCATATCAATTAGTCCATTGTCCATAAAATCAGCTTTACTTAGAAGTCTTAGAGCATAGACAAAATATAGACAAATTCTTTGCTAGAATGTAACACAAATGGTTTCTAGTCCAGTTTCCTATTGCATCTTCATTCTCATCTATGAAACCTCATGGGTGTGGCCTTTATGATCCACATTTCTGTCAGCATTTTGGTCTTCTGAGTTATGACCAGAATCACTCATCAGTTTTTGCTTACAATATTCTATGGCTTCTTTACCCCACGTCTCCAATCCTTTTCAAATTCCTCCTGCAGACCAGTTCTGAAGACTTCAGAACCACACGGTCTAGTATGTGACAGGAACTTTTCTGGATATCAGATTTCTATATCAGTCAACTTTCCTGTTGCTGGGACAAAGTTTGTGACACCCACAACTTAAAGGAGGAGAAGTTTATTTTGTCTCACAGTTTCAGAGGTTCATGGTCAGCAGGACTTGAGGCAAGAGCATCTTGGTGGAAGGGCATAGTGGACCCAAGCTGCATACATCATGGAAGCCAGGAAGCAGAGTACCAGAGAAGAAGGGGCCAGGGATCAGATATAGATGTGGTTCCCGAGGTCTTATCCCCATGACATACCCAGAAATGTGCTTTATTAACGTACTAGTCATCTCAAGCTAATCAGATTGATAGTCAAGATTAACCACCACAAGTATTTAGACAATATTGCCTAATAGAGAAATCAGAAGATCTAGAGCAAAGAGGAGAAATGTGGACCAAAGAAGTATATTTGAAATAATTGGCAGTGCTAATTAAAGTAATGTGAGGTGGGAAGAAGAATGAGAATAGAACTCTAGGAGCATTGCTGTTTAAGTAACAAAGTGGAGCCTTCAGTACAATACAGTGAAAAGGACTTGAGTGTTGATAAGGATCCATCACAAAGTTGTGGGAGTGGTGTAGGTGGAGGTTTGGTCTAGAGAAGTGGATGCAAACAATGAGTATAGACCACACATTTGAAGTACTTGACAATTGGAGAAAATAGAAGGAGAAAACAGATCAAAGAGGCTTAGGTATATATTTCTATTTAGATGTTATGAGTAAAGAACTAATACAAAGCAGGAAAATCTGTCCTGAGATTAATTGTAGTGTGAAAAGTGTAATTTTTGCTAAAGATGTAGTTTCTTTTGTCAGGAATTAAAACATTTCAGATCTTTAATAAGAAAATAAAACATAAGTACAAGCATAATCTGCAGAAGAAAAACTTAATGGAATTAAAGCCATTATTTTATTAGCTAGCTAAAGATTTCTGCAAGTTTCTCATAGTCTTGTCAGGAACCTCTCTTTGATTTGCTACCTCTAAATGTCAGTAAGCATACAATAGCCCTTTTATATGTATACATGTAATCTTTTTGTATTTTTGCTAATAGATTCCTAAAACACTTACTGATACTCTTTCTAGTATATGTGCTGCCGAAGCGAGCACAACTCTTTCTAAGGAAGCAAAGTAGGTGACCAAACCACTTCAAAATGAATTTTTCTTTTTTATTTTCAGACTTTTAAGAAGAAGCCAGACCACTTCCCATTCTTTTTTAAATGTATCCTGAAAGCAGCATTAGCTGAAACTGATGGTGAATTTTCCCTCCATGAACAGACAGTCCTGCTGCTTTTTCTTGATCATTGCTTCAACAGTTTGGTAATTTCACTTCATGTTTTGGAGAAATTTTTGAGTTTTTTAATTAGTTTAGATTGAGTTTAGATTATCTTTGTGACCATCTCTTCATCCATAGTAGTGGGGAATAATGATGGATAATGTTACAAGCTTGATTTCCATCCCTTCTCAATAAAATCATTTTGTAGGATATGTTTCCTATTTTAATAGCTTTGGACTTGATCCCTCCTTTTTCCTATTTAGACTCTTAAGAAAAATGCTAAGAGTTGAGAGCACTAAGGAAAAGCACAAAAATGAAAAACAGCAGAGTCTAGTGATTATGAGTAATGAAATCTGTGCCACAGCCTGCACACTTAATTTAGCTTCCTTGATGCTTAGTCATGCTTCATACGCAGACTAGCAAGTCAGCAGGAAAGTTGTATTTTGAGTGAAAACCTTTAAGGCCAATTGTGGATGATCTTTGACGAATTCTTGGATTGTGTGTGATATGCTTTCATCCTTTGTAAGATTATCTTCTAAAAACATGAAATGTTTTCAGTAGTTAATATTTCATTTGAGTTTCCCTACTGTGGTTATCTGAAGATGTACACAGACTTTTTTAAAGGTAAGTCTTTCTGAACTGATAATACACTTAGACCCATGGAAGAGATTGTGTGGCTTTCTCTCTTATCTCGAAGATTGGATGTTGATTGATGGAAGGTTTTTGCCTATTTCTATATACTGCCTCACTTAGATCTCGTAAAGGTATGAATAATATTTATACCCCAGTAGATACCAGTGTTACCTGCTTAAGAATTTATTAAACTAAACAGAACAAATAAAAATAGACATAATTTTTTAAAATCAGAAATTGAACAAAAATAAGATGTAATTAGTACAGTATTAATAGTTTGGTGGCAGATTTAATAAGTTTAAAACCTAGTTCATTGTAGAACTCTATAAAGCTTTATCTTATTCAGTATGTTGTTAGTGCTCTTTTTTTGAGGCAATTATGTTTGTTTTATAAAGTAGCTTTGAACACTAAGCCAACACTGAGCCACAGCTGCTAGGGGAAATAAAAGAGTTAAGGTCACAGCATTTTTGTCAGACTGTTAATACAGAATCTTATTTTATGTGTGTTTCTGTTTAGAGAAGTTTTACTTAATGTATATTTTTAGTATATGTGCTGCCGAAGCGAGCACAGCTTAATATGTATTTTTGATTCATTAACCTCGATCTCACTGCCAACAGTACTCCCGCTCCCGTTCCTGAATATAAATTATCAAATGCGTATTTTCTCTGCAAGGCACATCAGAGCCTCATGTCCTCGTGAACTTTAGATAACAGTAGCACTTCAGTCTTGTTCTGGGGTCCACTTTAAGCAGTGAAATTACCAACAAAAGGCACAACAATGCATAAAATGTAGTATCACTTTTTCGTATTATGACTGCTACAAGTGAAGTACAGTCAGCTTTAGCCTCAGCTGGTAATGTACACAGCAGGCAACTCAAACATTTTGGGTCTCTATGCTACCTGAGTGATTATAGACAGTTATTTTGGGCTTATAAATTATATTTTTGTGAGGAGGTATGCATGTTCACAAGTATGGAATCTGCAAATAGCTAATTTTAAAGTATTTAACTTTTAAATATTACAGTATCACCAATTTGAAAGTTTTGCTGGCATATTTTCCTAATGCAGTACATTATCTATGTAAAGACTTTAGTAAAAGTGCTAGAATATTTATAAACTAGTTTTCTTAATGCTTATACAGGAAGTAGACTTGATACGGAGTCAAGTACAGCAACTTATCTCCCTCCCAATGTGGATGGGCTTACAACCTGTAAGTATCTAATTTCAAAATCTCATGTGTATATATGTAAGTGGAAGGTATGATTTTAGAGTGTGTAGCTTGAATATGGATATATAAGTGCTAAGTAAAAATCTTTCCTGCTTAGAAAAGTTAATCATAAGTGTAGTTTTCAAAGTTTTAATATTTTTATGGGCATCCTAATACCTAATTTCTGTATTTTAAGTTAAAAAAGGGTAGTTTCTGTTGCAAAAGGGAGATAATTTAGCAATGTATAGTTATTATCCTTATGTATATCTTTGGATAAGACTAAATCAAACTTGATTTTTTAATTTCCTATGATTAGAATGTATATATAGTTACTGAAAGTCTGAATCAATTTTAATATTAATGATTTGTTTTTTCAAGTCTTTCTTGGATGATATATGTGCATACCTAATTAGCATATTTTAGGAAGTAAAATTAAAACTATCTACTCCCATCAGACTGGAATGCAGAGGCAGGAGGATTACAAATTTGAGCCCAGCCTGGTCAGTTCAATGACTTAGAACATCCTGTCTCAAAATAGAAAATAAAAATAGGCTGGGACTGTAGCTCAATTGGAAGGCCCTGGGTTCAATCCCCAGTACCAATGAAGCACCACTGCGACTACTGCTACTACTACAAATAATATGTTAAAATTATCAAATTTCAGTGTAATACTTTTTTCAGAATTCTGTTTCCTACATACAAGTGTTTGCACATCCAAATATGCACTGTTTGTTGATGGAAGAAAAACACGACACATATCAAAAAAGTACTAGGTTCCATAAGAGAATATGCTGATGGAGCGGCAACATTTCCTTATTTACTTCTGATAGTTCTTTTATAATTATTGAGACATATTTTCAAACTTCAGTGATTATACTTACAAGTATTTAATGTTTATATTTTACAGACTTAAATCCTTAATTTTAGAAATAAAACTTTGAGTATTGAGCTCAAAATCTTGATTATAAAAGGCTGTTTCTTCTGACTTACTTTTTATTAATCACTTAGTTTACCCCAAGCGTCACTTGGGCAGCTCACACATTTGTTTGTGTACTGTCCTGTGCATCACTCGGGCAGGTATCATTTCAGCCAGTCAGTTCTTGTATTGAGTAAATTTGATAAAATTGTCATTTTTCTATTTCTTGTCATATTAATGAAAAAATATGCAATTTATTAATTTTTTGGGGGGGGATACCGGGGATCGAACTCAGGTCCTTGTGCTTACGCAGCACGCGGCGAAATCACCAAGCTAAATCCCCAGCCAACAATTTATTTTTTTATTTTTTTATTTTTTGGTTCTGGGGATGGAACTCAGGGCCTTGCACTTGCAAGGCAGGTGCTAGAACCACTGAGCTAAAACCGCAGCCCCAAAATATGCAATTTATATCATCTTATATTTAAGTAATTGGACTGTTAAGTGGTTCTAATGTTAGAAATTTTTTTTTTACCGGGGATTGAACCCGGGACCTTGCACTTGAAAAGCAGGCGGTGGCACCACTGAGCTAAATCCCCTGCTCTAGTGTTAGAAATTTTTAAAAATGTAATTATTAATATTTTAGTGTTCAGGGCTTGTCATGTTGCTTACATTGTTTTACATTATATTTATATATTAGAAAGCCTTCTAGTAGTCAATCTAATCTTTGTCCTTGTAAATGTTGAGATTATTGGTAATTTAATATCACATCTCTTATCCAGGCACGATTGGAATTAGAATTAAAAAAGACTCCCAAGCTAAGGAAATTCTGGAACTTGATTAAAAAGAATGATGAAAAGATGGATCCAGAAACAAGAGAACAGTATGTTGGCGATGCATTATTCCTCTTTAGCTATTGTGCTGGGTTATGGGTCTTAGACAACTTTGTAATTTGTTGCTTTCTTTTATATAGTGCTTAACCCAAATAAACTATTAATAAGTGCTCTTAGACTGTTACAGGAATTTTTTTTTTAGTACCAGAGATCGAACTCGGAACCTTGCACTTACAAGGCAGGAAGTAGAACCACTGAGCTATATCCCCGGCCCTATTTTTTTTACAGAAGTCTAAAGGAGAAGCCATAACATCACCATGTTTTTCTTTTTCTTTTCTCCACACCAGTGATAAGTGCTACTATTTTCTTCTTTCCTGTTGTCTGCAATCTGTCCCTTGAGGATGATTCTCAGTTTTTCCCAGTCTTCAAGCTATTAATCCAGTATTTTTTTTACTCCTTCCCTAATGTCATTCATTCATTCAAAAAATACTGTTTGTTTGTTTATTTATTTATTTATTTGTACCGGGGATCAAACTCTGGTCTTTGTGCTTGCGCAGCAGGCAGCGAAACCTCTGAGCTAAATCCCTGCCCCAATATTGTTTATTTTGCCAGATACTTTAATTGTCATTGGGATACAGCATAAAGCAAAAGTAATTCCTGCTTTTGTGAAGCATATTCTGGTTGGGAAAGACAGCAGTAAACAGATAAATTATAGAGTATGTTAGGTGCGGATACATGTAAAGGAAGAAAATCAAGTATTGGGATTAAAGGTGCAGATCAGTGTGACTCTTACAGCTGTCAAATCATGTCCAGAATTTTAGACCTAAATTTTATACAAAAATCGATTTCTTTCATCATGGATCATATTATGTGGTTTTTAAATGTTACCAGGTTGTTTTTTTTTTTAATTGTTCAATTATTTTGACCATGTTAAAAGTTTTTATCAACACAAAATTTTGCTGTGCACAATTTCAGGCATCAGCTTTATTTTATGGTTTTTTCTAACAGTCATGTTTGCTTTTGCTTAGATTAAAGTCTGTGATAGCATTTGCTTCATGGAACAAAGAGCCATGTTGGATGCAGGGGAAGGACCTTCCTGGTTTCAGATGTTTGTTTCCCTCCATCTCTTTGAGACAAACTGAGCTGTACTTTTATTTACTCCATAGTTTTTCCATTTTCTCCATTTTCAGTCACTTTTTTCCATTAACTTCTGTTTCTCTGTTCTTTCTGCATGCGTGTGCTCACACACACACAATACACACATGCTCAGGACATGCTCACCGTGGGCCTATGATCCCTTCTTTTGGGTCTATCCTAGTTTTCTTTCACTAAGAGAATACCTTATAGTTCTCTTTGCTTGAATCTTATAACTCTCACTTGAAGTTTTGTTCCTGCTTTCCACACCTACCTGAAATTGTTCTTTTTGATCTTACCAGTCACCTATCATTTAATGCTTTGAGATTTTTGTGTGTTTGTTTTATGTCATTTCCTTTGATTTTCATATGATCCTGTTGGTTTTACTCCGTTTCTTGTATATCCCTCCCTTAACAACTTTAGTTTTTTCTCCTTTTGGATTTTTTTCTCTATCTCTTCCCTGGTTCCTAAGTTCAAGGTATTAGTGTATCGCAACAATTTATCTTCTATAGTCTTCTGGTTCTTCTCCCCAAGTCCCCAGGGGTTTGTGAGAAAACTGAGGTGGGGAAAAAAAATAATTTGCCTCAAAAGATACAATTCTGTATGGCAGAATTCTAATTTGGACCTAATTCCTCTGTCTAGAAATCCTTTTTCTTTGACTTCTTTTTTTTTAGAGTTTTGTGCATTTTATTTAACAAATTTGGGCCACAAAAACTTAAATCTCTTCCATACACTGTGTTCATGTATCTCGGCCTGAAGTAAATGCTTGCTGGGAAGCTTGTTTTCATAATTTCCTTTTTTCTGTTTTTGGTACCAGGGATCAAACTCGGGACCTTGCACTTGTGAGGCAGGCGATGGCTCATAATTTCTTTTTAAAGTTCTCAATTATCTCCTCCTTTTAACATTAGGATTATACCTAAAGAGATCATCAGTAAGAGACTCTTCTTTTGCATGTTGCTTTTTTACCTCCATTTTCTGTCTCAACCAGTCTTCTAATTCTGCATTCTTTCGAGCATGATGATCTATTAGATCTGATCCTCCACTGATGTGTGGAAGTTTACCTGCTCCAGGAAAGGTGACCTTTTTGAATTTCTTGAAATTCTTTAGTTGATGACCATGATCATTATTTATCCCACACAGATTTCTGTAAGTGGAGTTTAACTACCGTGATCTAAGTTCAGTCATTGACAACTTTTTTGGAAGCATCTCGCTGCTGTCCTGAGGTTCATCATTATTAGATATTTCTTTAGTTGACCACAGTGATTCTTTCTTGAGCTCACATTTCTTCCCAACTTCACTTTCTTGAGGTATTTTGTCACTTTCTGGTATTATTTTATCATCAAAATTGTTATTTGTTTCTGTATCTAATCTTGGCTTTTTTCTAATGTTGATATCTTCTTGTTTTTCAGCTTTCACTTGAATTTCTAACTCTCATCTTGAGTTTTTGAACAACTGCTCCAATAGTTCATCTTCTGTGGCCAAATCAATTTCTTTTCTTTTTCTTGATCTTAGACTTTTTGTAGAAACAGATTTACTGTCAGAGTTTTTCACAGTGGATTTTAAATCTTCATCATCTCTAAATAAGTTTTCTGATTTTGTGTCCATAGGTTCATTCTGAGATAGATTTTGCTCTTTGTTTTTCCATAGTGAGGTTATAGCAGGTTGTGTTTGTTCTAAAAGAGAACATTTCTATACTTGCTGATTTGGATGAAGACATTTTTTGGTTTTCTTCATCCCTTTCCCTTTTTTTGGGAGATGGCTGAAAGTAGTTTCTAGTGGTATTTGTCTCTTGCTGAGAAGCACGATCTCTTCTTTTATTTACACTTGGGAATTTAGTTGGTGAAAGCTGATAGTTTTGGATATTTGCCCTAACCAGAGTATTTGATGCCAGTTATTATTGGAGCTTGTTTTGGGGGCTTCTTTTATAATGGATATTTCTTGTGACAATGATGCACATTTTTGTTCTATTTTGGAGATTTTTATTACTTTTGGCTTTTCACTCAAATACATGTATGTGCCTGGTCCGATTCTGTGTCAGCTACATATGTTGCAGTGTTCTCAGGAGCACTTGACGTGAGTTTTTCACTGACTGACCAGTCTTGTGAAAGGCTTGGCCCTGGAGTCTTTGTCTTTAATCCTGTGCTGGCCCGGCCCTGAGGATCACAATAATTCTCTGTAGTCATGAAAATAACTGCCAATCCAATTTCTGCTTCAGGAATAGTTCTAAGACCCTGCCTTTGGAGTATATCCATAATTGAGTGAATCCATTTTTTCTGAGAGTCAGGAATTAAGATCTGTGTATTTGTTATTCCTCTGTCAACAACACAAGTTCCAGGAGCTGTCTTTGACTTCTTTGCAAGTAAGAAATTAGAATTTTGTGATAAAGTTAATTTTTTTCTTCTCTATCCCTATGTTATAGGAAGTCCTCAAAGGAGTTTATTAATAGATAGAGTGATACAATCAGGGTTAAGTTTTGGAACAGTGTCTCGAAGTTGTTTTTAGATGGGCAAGAATCGAGGCAGAAATGGAAGGTAGTTGTAATACTTGGGCAAGAGATCCTGATAATTTGAACACAATGGCATTGGAGGGAAAGGGATGGCGACAGAGAACTATTTAACAGGTGTTGGCGAACTGTTGACTGTGAGGATGGTAATTAATAGTTTTCTGACGAGGTGATGAGGTGATAGTGAGATCTTAACCAAGCTGGGCCTGGCGGTAAATTAGGTAGTTTCCGCTTTGCTGTACCAAGTGGCGCTGTGGAGCTGGAGATTGAGGTTGTGAGAAATGTAAACGCTGCATTTGTAGGTACATATGTAGTTCATAATTGAAACCAGGAATATGGGTGAGATCTCTTTAATGAGGTATGTAAACCGTGAGCAGAGGATCCAGGACCAGTGGACAAAAGGGAGGGCAGCCTGGAGTTAGGAAGGTGGTCCCCAGAGGAAGAACTGAAAACCTGCATGTTGGTGAGATGCGTTTGGGAGTAAGAGTGAGAACCGCAATGCCAGCATACTGGGGTCAGAGCAGGACTATGCCTGTCTTAATTTCTAGTTCCTTGTCGTCTCTTTATGTTTTTCCAGCTAACATCTTGTCACCTTGATTGTATAAAAAAAATGGCATCTTTGCAATATTTAAGTGGTTTTTAAAAAAATAAACCTTATTATCTCATTTAAATTACTCATGTAATTTAGTCCTAAATCTCACTGTTCCTGACATCATTTTCGACTATACAACTCCTTCCTTTGTACTTCTGCTTAGATGAATGTCATGAACTTAAATTTAGCTTAACTAAATATTGCTCATTGTTTTTTTGTGTTTTGGGGGTTATTTTGGTACCAGGGATCGAACTAGGGACCTTGCACTTCAAGGCAGGCGGCAGAACCACTGAGCTAAATCCCCATCCCTTGCTCATTGTTTTTTACTCCGAAACTCACCTTTTTGTCTGGTTTCTCTTAATTCTTCCTTTCATTTGGGATTGAAAACCCCCAGATCTCTGACTAGTTGTTTATAACCAGCAGGAAGTCATGTAGAATTCATGCTTTGTCCTTCCTCTGTTTTCTTCTGTTCACATTGTCATCATTTAGGCCCTTACAGTCTTCTTGACTGAACTGCTGTAGTAACTTCTTATTTGGTCTTTCTTCCAGCTTTTCCAGAACAATAAAGTTTAAGTAGCTTTTGTCGGGAAACTGTTTATTTTACCATATTCCTGTTCAAGAGACTTTTAGTGGTTTCTTTGTCCCCATAGATAGATTCTAAAACTCTTTACAGTGGCTTTCAAAAATCTCTAGCTATTTCTTGTGAACCTCAAATTGCTGAATTAGGTTAGTCAAGATTCCTCTCCTGAATCCTTTCCACCTCCACTCCACTTAATTTAATATTAGTCATCTAAATACTCTTCCAGACCACCTACATCGGACCACAGTTCTTTCTTCTGAACAACTAGAACGCACCACCTGTTGCTATGATTGCAGTTTGTATAGCTGTTTAGCTTTCTAGAATCAGATTTAAGTAGATTCCATACCCTCTCTTCATGTGACTTTGGGCAAGTTTACTTTCCCTCTTTGTAGGGAGCTACAGGGTGAAATCCGAGCAATAGGACCTATTTCATAGGATGTAGTTAGTAGTTAATGAAATTACTCATGAAATGCTTAAAACAGCATAGATCCTGGCAGAGCGAGTCCCCGAGTAATGTGAGGCAGTTTTATTAATTACTTGATAGCATGTGTTACTCATTATCTTTATATCATAGGACTTACCACTTCTAGTAGACTTGAATCATTCTTCTCCTTTGTATTTCCAGCAGGACTGACGTAATCACTTGCAGCATCCAATATGTGATACGTGTTTGTTGATTAATTGGTGTATCTTAAATTAGGAATGAATAGAAAATTATTTTTTAAAGTAACCTTTACTCTTTAGCCATTGTACTCTGTTGTATTTACTACTTTGACATATAAAAGTATATTTTATCTCAGCTTAACATACATTAAATGTTAGGCTTTTAGTCTGGCAGAAATAAAAGAAATTTTGAAATGTCATTTTGTAGGCCTGAGCTTGAAATTATAGGTGAAAACTACAGTAAGAAAAGGAGGCATTTGTTTAGCTGGCTTAGGCCAGTAATAAGAGTTTTCCTTTCTTCATGTAGCACTGTGTTTACAAAGCAGAATCTGTGTGTTCAAATTATGGTCCCAGTGACAGAGAGCTACATTTGATCAGTGTAAAAAAGGCTTGATCAACATATGAGATTTTTTAGTTTCTCAAAAATACTTTGGTCCATGTTCTTTGATTTTAGGGCCTATCAAGAGAGAAGATTTCTTTCACAGCTCATCCAGAAGTTTATCTCTGTGCTGAAATCAGTCCCACTTTCTGGTAACTGTCTTCTTTTACTCAACTCATTTGTGAATACATTACGTGTGTGTGTGTGTGTGTGTGTGTGTGTGTGTAGATACATATATATGTAGAAATATATGTGGGGAAATACATATATGTGGAATTTACTCATCTCTCGTCTAAAAACATTTGAGAAGGAGAATTTGGATTTGGAGAGGGCAAGAGGCAGGGAATTAAGTAGATATTGTAGTGATCAGATCAAGATAATGATGGCTCAGACTTGTAAGTTAGGAAGGAGAGGACATGCCAGTTTGAGAAAGATCAAAATGAAGACATTAATGATAGGATGTGGGGGAAGAAAATGAAAGAATCAAGAATGACCCCCAAATGTTTTGCTTAAGCTGCTAAATGATTGGAATGATTTTAAATTGTATCAACAAAGTGAGCATCCTTTCTTTTCCTAGTATTTCCAGTCAAAACATTAAGGCTCCCCTTGAAGGATTATTTTAAAAACATCAGCATGGTTATTGAAATGTTCATTTAGTTAACAAATATTTTTTGTATTTGCTTACTATATCCAGGTCTTGTACAGATGCTATGATAAACAGTAAGGACAATTAAAAACCTTATTTGCTTGCTGTTTATAATACAAGTATTGGCTGGGGATTTAGCCCAGTGGTTCCACTGCCTGCTTCGCAAGTACAAAGTCCTGAGTTTGATCCCTGGTACCAAAAAAATAATAATAATAATACAAGTATTATTAAATAGTGTTTTCTATCAAAGTATAATTTAGAGATGAAGAGAAAAATTAGTTTTGAGATATAAGCTACAAAATAAAATGGGTCAGGTCCATCATGATCTCCATTTATTGATGAAAATAATATATACTCTATAGAGAGTATATACTATATTGGAATATATCCTTAGTATTATTAAATATACATGGTGCACACCCACTGTACATGTGTGTGTATGTGTTGTACACCTGTATCCCGGGAGAGTTTAACTATATTGGGTTGTATTGATCTTTGTAAGCATTTAATGAATGTAGGTAGAATACTGTTTACTTAGGTATATATGGTACATAATATATCATTATTTAATATTTCTTGTGTGGAATATATTGTTTAATATTCTTTAAGGAGAATATAATGTTGTTTAATAATATTTCTTCAGTGAAGCTATAATAACAGCTCCACTTATATCATTTGTTATGATTTTTTTATATCAGAATATAGCTTTCTTTAAATTTAACAGAATGACCTACTAATGCTGAGCCTCCAGACTGAAAGTTGTAGCTCAGATTCAGTGACGAATAAAGATCAGTGCCATAAATCAGCTGTACTCAATTTGAAGTATAATGCTACATGCATCAGTATATTCAAAAGATTGTCATATTGCCAGGGATGTAGCTTAGCAGTGCAGCGCCTGCCTGGCAAGTGTGAGATCCTGAGTCTGATCCCTGGTACCAAATAAAAAAGATTGTCATATGCTTACGATCTAAATTGCATAATATTAATTTTTAATCTTTTTGTTAAGTGCCTTAAATCTGAAAAAAGAGATAAAAAATTGGGGGTTCTTGGCAAAATAGCAACAATAATACTTTGAACTACTAATATCTCTAATAATCAGGGGCATAAAAATTGATATCTCTTATTATAGAATATTTGTGTAGGGCCATGTAGATTTAAAAAATAAATAGCAGTGAACATATAGGGCCTACAGTAATTTTAACAAACTATGAACAACTAGCACTTGTTACTATTGTTTGTATAAGAGTACAGCATTTCTTAATCTTTTTTTTTTTTTTTCGTACCGGGGATCGAACTCAAGACATTGAGCATGTGAGGCTGGCACAGGTGCCACTGAGCCAAATCCCTGGCCCCAGTGTTTCCTAATCTTGAGCTTTAATCAAAATTTGTTATGTTGCTGGCAAAGGAGCCAAGAAGATGCCAAAAGTAATGTGTCAGTTCAAAGAGAATATGAAGATAAATGGAATAGTTAGTACGCAGAAAGCTAATTTTTTTTTTTAATTCTTTTTGTTGTATGGGGGATCGAACTTGGGACCTTGCACTTGCGAGGCTGGTGGCGGAACCACTGAGCTAAATCCCTGGCCCTCAGAAAGCTAATTTTTAAAAGGAGTATTATAGTTTGATATTTATAGGCTCATAAAAATAACATACCCTTGTCAGTTGTTATAAAAGAGATCTGTGTAGGATGGTATGAAATGTTAAGACTACTGTCAGAAGAAGGAAAAAGTCCATGCAGTATACTTAAGAGACAGATGAGAAGGTGTGGTATTTATGTCTAAAATCAGGACAGGCTTTCTGTACTGAATGCACCTGTCACTGCCACAGCACAGTTACACACCACGCTTTGTTTTCTAATTTCAGCTAAGCCATTGGCAGTATATTTTTCAATCTGTAAATAATGACGCAATAGAGTTTGCTCATGTTTTTTTTTTAGTTTTGGATTAAAAATCTTTTTTTGACAGTTATAAAAATGAAAGCAACAGAGGGCTAGCTTGAATGGGTTTAATTTAAAAATTGTTCCTTTAGGTTCTTTAGTTTTAATAGCTATGTGACCTATGCTGGATCAGAAAGCGTTGGTTCTAGTTTTATGTTTTCACTAAGTCATTTTCTTTGGTCTTCAATTTCTCCTTTGGAAAATGATTGTCTAGAATAGTGTGTTTAAAGGTCTTTTTCAGGCATTACATTTTTTTGTTACGTTATTTCAGGGTCTGGATTATGGCTGTATGTTAACTAGAAAAGTTCCAGGAAAAATTCCAGATAACATTTCCATATATTAATGACAAAAATATTTACACTTCTTTATTCACATAAAGCCTTCCATTTTCTTGTACACTACAAATAAATAGAAGACATTTGTAGGCTGCCTTTTACAAGTTTGGCACTGGGTTAGTCACGGCTGAGAGTCTGGCTAAACAACAACAGGAACCTGAATGAAGATTATCTGTTTTAATTATAACAATCTTGGCAGGATGATTTTATCTGGTAAATGGAAGACCATTTCCTGGCATTAGGAAAATAAATTTAAATTTGTACTTTGAAAGTGTTTCATGTCACAGGATTGTAATTATTTAAAAACAAATGTTTTTAAAAATAGCATTATACATTATACTCATGTGTAGTATAAAGTAAGATTCTTGGCATTTCAGTATAAAGTAAAACATATACTGTGGAAAAATACTATAAATTAACCTCTAATTAGTTGGTGTGCATTTTTGCTACCTATTTTCTATGTACTTTAAAGTTAGATTCAATAGATATCAGCCTAGTAAATTGATGGTGAACCTTTTAGAGCTTTCAGTGATAACAAACAGCTGGCTGTGGCACATGTACCATAGGTCCGTAATCACTGGCCTAGTATCTGTGTGTATATGCATTTATATAAATACTTATGCATATGAAAGAACTTTTAGAAGTTAAATATGTGAGGATACGAAGGAAAGTGGAGCAAAATCTGATATAAAACCCTAACCCTAAGTTTTTCAAAATCTGTTCATTAAGTACAGATTTATAAGGTAACACTTCAAAAATACCTTTGCACGCCTGAGTTTCAAAATCCACTTCTGACCCAGACTAGATTTCTCATTTTCTCATATTTGTAGAGCTAAATATTAGGATATGGCTTGCTTTTTAAAAAATACATGCGAGATTCATACTTTAAATAATAGTCCAGTTATGATGAGTAAGAAACAAATGATTTTGTTCAAATTAGTACATAACTACCAGTTTTAAGAAATAGCACACAAAATAGCCTAACAAACTTCTAACGTGTTTCTCTCTGTTGTCTAGAACCTGTCACTATGGACAAAGTTCATTACTGTGAAAGATTCATTGAACTTATGATTGATCTAGAGGTAAGAAATACATAATAACTCGTTACATCATCATTAAGAGTAAGATTAAGCATTGAAATATTTATTACCTCAAACTGGCATTAGTTTATACCTATTTCAAGATGGCTTAAAGTGAAGAAAATCACAAGTTTATTTTCCCTTGAAATTTTGAGGTGACTGCCCCACTTGGGCTTCTTTTTATTGTCAATTTTTTAAATTAAGATTTTTCAAAGATTTCATAGTATTAGGTACAGGATTTGATTAAAAAGTTCCCCAAAGAATTAAAAGAATCATACCGCAGTGATATATGTGCACCCATGTTCATAGCAGCACAATTCGTGATAGCTAAAACTTGGTAACAGCCCAAGTGCCCATCAACTGGAGACTGGATTAAGAAAATGTGGTTTTTTTATAAAATGGAATATTACTTAGCCATAAAGAACAAGAAACTAGAGGCATTTATAGCTAAATGGATGCACATTGAGGCGATACTCTTCAGTGAAATAAATAGGACACACATGTAAATACCAAATAGTTTCTCTAGTGTGAGAAACTGAAAGTGTAAATAAGGACTAAAAGGTATAATAGATAATGTGAAGTAGGAAGTAAAGGGGCAAAGGGAATGGAGAAGTGGGAGGGGTAGGGGAAAGGAAAGAAGGGAATGGAAGTAATATGAGAAAATGAAAAAATGGAAACAAAGTCTTTGTTAGATAGGGAGGGATGGAGGGGTTGAAGGGAAGGCAGGGGAAGGGGGAAAAAATAAGAACCAAGATGGATGATGTAAAGGTGCAAATTTCTAATGATGAATGTCATTATATTGTATACCTTAAATATACCAACATAATTAATTAACTTCATGTATTAAATGAGTATATTTTGTCACTGTCTTCAGAGTTTCTTGTTATCTTCTGACTGTCGCAGGGGATGTGGGGAGAGGGAATGTAGATAGAAGTCTACTTACGAAGCTTTCTCCCTTTTCTTTCAAACAGCTCCACTTTTGAACCCACATACAATAAATGCTGGCATTTCCCATGGGGTTTTATTGGAAACTACTACTTGAGATAATCTGTGAGAGTCCTTCCTGGCTAGATGTTTTTTAAATTTTATCTTTAAAATTTTCTCATCATAACTGTTTTAAAAAAAGTATTGCCACTGGGCCAGGGATTTAGCTCAGTGATTCCGCCACCTGTCTCACAAGCACAATTTTCCGAGTTCGATCCCCAGAACCAAAAAAAAAGCAAAAAACTATTGCCACTGAGTTTATTTGCATCGTGGACCAAACCCCTTACTTTTCTATAGTATTTCTTTGGAGAGGCCAGAGGGCACTTTGTGATGTCACTTCTAAGTGAAATAATCAGTAAACTTCACCTCTGCCTGGAGAGAATACATGCAGAATTATTGCTCTGTTTATTGTCAGTTTTTTAAATTAAGATTTTCAAAGATTTCATAGTATTAGGTACAGGATTTGATTAAAAAGTTTAGATAGAGTTGATGTAGTTTATGTTTATTTTGATGTTTATTTTTCTCTAGGCCCTGCTCCCTACAAGACGCTGGTTTAATACCATCCTGGATGACTCCCACCTTTTGGTTCACTGTTACCTTTCCAGTCTTGTTCGTAGGGAAGAGGATGGGCATCTTTTTTCCCAGGTGAGCACTGATGGATATAAAAACACTGACCGTTATAAATTCTGAGTTGATCTTTTCTTTGCTGTGTAACTACTGAATACCAGGGCATGACACAAAGTAAATTTTTCTAAATATCAAATTGAATGATGTAAATTCCTAATTAGTCATCTTAAAATAGTCAAGTCTTACATAAAATGAATGCATTTTTGTGTGGGTGGCCTCTGCTAATTATACATTATAACCTTTTGCTATCTATATGTGTTTTTATTATTGAACTAAATTACAAGTTTGTTGATACAGTGCTCACATATTTTGATTTCTTAAAAATCTGACAGAATCATTTAAGGTGTACAACGTGGTGTCTTGAAATACAAACACACTGTGAAGTCATTACTGTAATGAAGCCAACATCTCCATCACCTCACGTGCTTATAGCCTTTCTTAATTTCCTCTACTTAGAAACATAATAACACGTCAAGAAATACTCTTAAGAGAAATACCCTTTGTATCTAACTCCTGGAGACATTAAAATACTTAAGTGATAACCATTTAAAGCAATTTTCTGATACCTCTATACATTAATGGTAAAAATAAAGTTGGCAATGTCAAATGCACTGTTTTGTAACTTGCTGGCTCGCTTAATGGAGTGTAGTGGCTAACGTTTTGCCTTTTCTGATATAATTAACTCTTCCCTGTCCTATTATCCTCACTTATACTCCCCCCACCGCCCATTTTCTTCTCATCTAATAATCATTTTCCTTCTACTTTCATGTCATCCTTTTTAGATTACACATACTAGGGAAAGTATGTCCCAAATTGGTAGGATAATTTTATCTCTTAAATGATAGACCATTTCCTGGCATTAGGAAAAAAAATAGTACATTATACTCATAAGTAGTATAAAATCAGATGAGGATTTAAAAAGTAATTTATTGAGTCTATTGCTTACTTTTGTGAGTCTGGCTTATTTTACTTAAGGTGATGATCTCTAGTTCCATCCATTTTCCTGACATACTGAAGAGCCACACTGGATTATCAGCAGTAATTTCAAATGAACTGTGCCCTGTCTTTCCGTAGCGTGATGGTGACAGGCAGCTGATAGCGTGCAAGTGTGTGTGTACCTTGCCTGCTGATGCTCTGAGTAGAAATACAGATGCACTTAAGTGTATTGCTGTCAGTAGGAGGCAAATATTATTATGTGACATTTCCTCTAATGTCATATGAAAGAAAACATCTAACAGATTTGTAGTTCTTGTCTTTCAATGAGATCCTAACTGGAGATATAATTTCTGTGAACACATATTCTTCTGTATCTATAAGCATTCCTCTTTTTCTCATGCTCTTTTTAGATTTTCATCCAGTGATTTGCTGTATATAAGCATATATTAAAATTTTAATATCTGATCTGCCATAGATTTGAACTAAAAATGATAAAGATTTGGGCTGAATGCCACTAGTAGTCTCTGTTGACACTACTACCACATAGGGAAAGCAAGGCAGGAAACAAGCTAAAGAAAGGCTTGATGACCAGGGAGACTGATGGGAGGAATGAAGCCCTTACTGATTTTCCCTGATAGCAGCCACACATAGAAAAGAGTATTTCCAGTTACGCATTTCAAAACTCTCATTCAGAAAATCTTAAGTGACGTAAAAGGCCTACGAGTTCCCTGTAGCGGTATAGTTTTAACAGTTTTGCAGTGATGTTGATAGATTTTTTACTTTTTGAAATACTAGGCTTCTTTGGCTTATCTTTTTAATGTCTCTTAAACCATTGGGATTGCTGTTAAAATTCTCTGTGGAAGTAGACTTACAGTCTTCTTAACTATATTTGTAAGAAACATACTTTATTTTCATGTAAACACGTTTAGCTGTATCTGAAATATTTGTTGTAATGTTTACACAGTTTTTCATCACCTCTGAAGAAGTATGTATCTGAACTTATTTATTATTTTTATGCTTTTTTGGTCTTATGTTTACATGGTCTGTTGATTTCAATGTCTCCTTTCAGCTTTTGGACATGCTTAAATTCTATACTGGTTTTGAAATTAATGACCAAACTGGGAATGCTCTGACAGAGAATGAGATGACCACAATTCACTATGATAGAATTACTTCTTTACAGGTAATTGAAATGCCTAATAGCCTTTTCTTATGGCCCTAAGATTGCATCATACTATAATTTAGGTTTTATATAGATGCAGAGAAGAAGAGGTATTAATAATATTTTCAGTTTTAGCTCTTTTAGCTTCAAGTTTTTTAATGTTTCTAATTCTGAATTCAGGAAAAAAGTTACTCTAAGTAGCATGAATCAGTATACTAATATTTGGGGGTTTTTTGGGGGGTTTTTTTGGTACCGGGGATCGAACTCGGGTCCTTGAGCTTGCACAGCAGGCAGCGAAACCACTGAGCTAAATCCCCAGCTCCAGTATATTAATATTTGATACTCAGAAATATTAATTACCAGGCCAGTTCAGTACATTTAAATTCTGTAGGTCCTACTTTCAGGTCCATTTTATATCTACAGTTATTGAAAGGGTTTAAACATATGGCAAGAGGTATATAAGTATTTTGCACATTTTTAAGATAAACACATAATAGAAATGAAATTAACCAAATACACCTTAGATATGTTAAAATTACTTTTGTTTTCTATGACTGAATTATATCTTACTTCATTTCATCTGATGGCAGAAGGAAGCTTTTATTTGTTAATTTAAAATAGTTAAGTTTTTTTAATTGAATCTTTTTTTGTGAGTAAAGACTCAGTCAAAATTAAGTTTGAACTCTATTATAATCATTTCTGTTACCCCAGGGAGTCTCTGTCTCCCTTTTCTTTCCCCAGTGGCTTCTGGAAGTACATGGAGAACTCTAAGAGACTCTCATGTTTTGAGAAAAGACACGAGCTCAGATATCTTTTCTACTTTTCTGAGAGCATTAGTTTTTTGTCCTTTTGCCTGTGGTCATGAAGTAACCACAGCTAGTGTGACGTGTGGTGTGTTCCGCTGGCGTAGGCAGGGGATAATGGTGTTTCCACTACTGACAGAGGCTTCAGCTTTGTCTTGATATTGCTAATGCTCTCCTGTGAGTCGACTCTCACTCAGTGTCTGTTTAAGCCCCTCACCCGCAGGCTTGATTGCAGACTCATTTTTGCAGTGGTCTGCATTAACCCCATATTAAGCTCTCAAATAAGCTTGGTGACTACAGTGATGTCATACATTGAGCGCATAAAAACTTCTGGGTCTTTTCTGTGACATGAGGGTATCAAAGAAGACTGAGATGTTGCCTCACACCTTGTTACCAAATCCCCATAGTGTTGCTGTCTGTTTTCTTGCTGCTTGTTCCGTGTTGGTTGGGAGTGATACCCTGCTTGGCGTTCTCTTCCCAGAATTCCAAACAAAAGCAGGGTACAGACATTATATTTTGGCCTCTTCTTAGGTTATCTCTCCAGTGAGAATCTCCCTGGGGACTTTTAGTCTTGCTATGCCAGTTTTTTTTTTTTTATTTTGGGGATCAAACTCGGGACCTTGCACTTGTGAGGCAGATGGCGGAACCACTGACCTAAATCCCCAGCCCACTATGCCAATTTTTGATAATAAAGTTTGGGTTTTTTCTCTATTGTCAGTGAAGCTAGCATTCATTTTCATATATGTTTCAAATTGGTTTTAGAAATAAAAAATCTGGACACTGACTCTTTCCTACTAGAATAGTTTGTGTTTTTTTCCCGTTGTGTTACTTGCTTCTGGCTGAATAAGGCAGAGTTCACATAGAGACACAAAAGAGTAACACATTAATATTTTTAAAAATATCACTTCCACTCCATAGCATATAAGTTGCAGATGATTGTAATAGTAAGTAAACATTAATTATTGATAGCATCTGCTGTTTCTTTCTAGAGAGCTGCCTTTGCACATTTCCCTGAACTGTATGACTTTGCCCTCTCCAATGTTGCAGAAGTAGATACTCGAGAATCATTGGTCAAGTTTTTTGGACCTCTTAGGTAAGAAACTACATAAGAAAAAAACTGTGTTCTCTTTAGGATCTTACTCCTTGAGATTTACTTTTCTTTGTAGCTTTCATTCATTTTTGCACTAATGATTATGTAGTCTTGTTGCTTCACTGGATTGGCCTCTGCACTAGTGCTTCTCTCTAGCACTTTGGTATCTTTGAGTCACTTAGATATAATTATCCAACTTTTTTCTCTTTTAGGGAGGTAAAATTTACATTTTGCATAACTTACGTCATTTTCTTAGATCTTAAACTTTTCTTAGAGTAGAAATTGAGCAGGTCAGTCCCATCAGTCATAAGCAATATTGAACAGAAACCAATAAAGGTTCATCATGCATGATTTTAGGAGTATGACTTAGGGAAATTTTTACACAGTAAAATTTGTACAGTTAGTAGTATTCTCTGCCACTTAGTTGTCTGCTAATATACTTTTTTGAAAATAATATAGCATATGTTTATTTAAGAGGCACTCTGCTAAGTGTTTAATCCTCAAAACATTTTAGGAGTAGGTACTGTTTTATAAGAAAGGTAAGTAGGGCATAGAATAGGTAAGTAATTTGCTTAGTTACACAGCAAGTAAGGGGCAGAGATAGGATTTGAACCTAGACCTTTTACCATTATGCTCCAGTATCTCCCTGTTGTTTTTAATTCTTAGGGGAAATTGTTTATTTCATTTTCTACTTGAAGTGAAACACTTCAAGATCTAAGACTTGTAGTTGCTCATATCCTTGACAAGTGTCAAAATTGCCTGGTATTTTTTCTTCTTATAAACAATTCTAATAGGAATGCAGTAGTATGACATTATGCTTTAAATTTGCATTTCCCTAATTGACAACTAAAGACGATAACCATCTTTCTTTGGGTTAACTGATATCTATCTTCATTGGTAAAATAACTATTCAACTCTTTTGCCATTTCTTTATTAAATTTTCTTGTTCTTATTGAGTTAAAACTTCTGGATACCCTCTTGTCAGATAAGTATTAAACATCATTTCTCCCAGTTTGTGGCTTGACTTCTTTCTCCTAAGGTTTTTGAAAGAGCATTTATAAATTTTGATAAAGGCCAATTTATCATTTTTTCTGTTATGCATTGGTGTCTATAGAAATCTTGGCAGAAACTGTAGTCACCAAGATTTTCTTCTATAAATGTTAGTTTTGATTTGTCTAAGATTCATTTTGAATTAATTTATATTTATGTTGTTACTGGAGGTAAAGGTTCATACTTTCCATATGTACATCTATTTCTTGCAACACCACTGTTGAAAATGCAAGGGAAAACAATGAAGATTTTTTTGTCCTTGGATTGGCAAAACTTAAAAACTGCTTTCCTTAGTGTTGGCAAGGAGAAAAATAAACCATCACATTTTGTTGTTATAGGTGTAAATTGTTGCAGTCTTTTCTAAAGAATATGTAGAACCAAGAATCAGCTTTTCTGGCTCTAGGAATAAGTATAAGACAATTTTATATAAAGGTAAAAAAGGATGCTGCTATAGTTTAGATCTTGATTGTCTTAAAAGGCTCAGTATTGAAGGCTTGGTTCCCAGCCCTAAGCCTCCATAGCGAGGGGTGGAACCTTTAGGATGTGGGACCTAGCCCTTGAAAGGAGTGTTAGGAACCTGGCCCCTCATTCCTTCCCCTCCTATGCCTTCTTTTCCCTTCCTAGTTTCTCCTTCCCACCTTCCCCTGCTCTTCTCCCTTTCTGTATCCTCCACTCGCCTACCTTCTCTTCTTCCTGACTTCCATGAGGTGAGTGGCTTCCTCCACCATCCGTTTCTGCCATGATGATGGCATGATGCACTATTGTGCTGTGGGCCTTAAAACAACTGGGCCAACCAACCATGGACTGAAACCTCTCAGATTATTAGCCAAAAGAAATCTTTCGTCTTTTAAAGTGGATTTATCTCAGGTATTTGTTACAGAAGTAGAAAGGTGATTAACACAGATGCTCACTGCAGAACTTTCTTTTTTGTTGCTGGGAATCGAACTAAGGGCCTCACGCTTGCCAGGTGGGTGCTGTACTGCTGCGCTACATTCCTGGCTAGAATTCTTGCTAAGGGCCAAAAATTTAAATTAAAGATAAGTCAATAGGAGAGCAATTAAAAAATAGTATGAAACTGCAGTTCTTTAAAAGAGTGAAATATATCTGTAGTTATTATAAGAAATACAATTAGATTCTCATATGAAAATGCACAGCCTCCCCAGCCTTAGTTTGTTTCACTTCAAGTAGAAATGAACTAAACAATTATCCTGGTGGAATTGAAAATGAAATAGCCACTTTGGAATAATTTGACATTTTCTTTTAATCATGCACTATGTGATTATAATCTCCAGGGTATATTAAAGATATGCGTAGGATAAATGAAAATATATATTCACACAGAAATCTCCAAAAATGATTAGTTTTATTCATGATTGTCAAAAACTAAAATACATAAATTTCCTTTGACTGGTGAATAGACACTGATATATCCATAGAGGAGCGTACTACCAAGCATTACAAAGAAACAAAGTACAGTATTCACAATTTCAAATACATTATGCAGCGAGTAGCAAAAGGCTACCAAATATATGATTCATTTATGTACCTTCTGGAGAAGGCAGAATTACAGAGATTGAAAATAGATAAGCAGTTGCCTGAAGCTGGAATGGAGAAGGGGCTTTAAAGTGACTAGAGTCACTTTTTTGGGTGAAGTAGTGGAAAGCTGTCAGATTCAAAATAGTGAATGCAGGTTTTTAAAAATTCTAATTTTTCACTTGAAAGTTCAAATTTTGTCATTGGCAGTAAATACTGATGCTTGTTTTCCGTGTACTTGCAGGCTTATTTCATTCAAATTTGAAAAAAATATAGCTATTTACCCAAGACCAAATATTCATAGTTTGTCATCTATTGAAAATTGTAGACTTTTAAAAAAATGAATATTCAGAATTACAAGTTTAATAAGTTTTTAAGGCTTCATCGGAGACATTCTTAAAACTGATTGTTTTAAAATAATATATGGAATGAGGAATCCTCTGATTACTGTTAGCACAGGCTAGTGCCACTATTGCTTTCGTATCATCACAGTGTGAATATAAAGGTAGTAACAAAAACATTGAAAACATATCCTTGCAGGTTCCTTGAAAAGATTTCAGGTACCATCAGAGGTTTAGAGAAAGTATTTTGAAAACTATGCACGAAAATTTTTTCATTGCTGGTTTTTAATGTTTGCCCATTATCATAGGGAGTATATTTACTTTTTAAGTTACCTGTAAAAATACATGTTTCCGAAGTGAAGTTGTGAAACAAAATTGCTGTTCTTCATTCTGCAGTTCAAACACCCTCCACCAGGTGGCATCATACCTCTGCTTGTTGCCAACCCTTCCTAAAAATGCAGACACATCTTTTGATAAAGAATTTCTTCTAGAACTGCTGGTAAATATTAATTTTCACTGAATTTCTCAAGTGGTTTTCTTTACCTTTTTGAATCATTCATAACAATCTGGGCTGTTACAGATTTCTTCTAGAACAAAGTTTGGGTAGTTAATTATAACCTACTTATGGAATTCTATTATTTGATTTTTGTCTGGTTTGTTTCTTCAACTCTTGAATTTCTTCTGCCACATTTTTCATCTCTTAAAACAGCTTTATGGAAGGAATTTGTTATATGAGCAAGCATTTATGAGCAACTTCTATGTCAAACAAACACTGGATTCATGCATCAGGGAAACATAGGTAGTTGACACTATTCCTTTGTTTTAAAGGGTCGTAATTAAACACACATAGTACATACATGTGAATATACGTTCATATAATTTATTTTAAAAATGATCATTTAAATATAGTGCTTTGAATATTAGGTCATGCCTGTATCACTAGAAAATCTCAGGGATGTTAAAAATGTTCACTGACTGGCTTGAGAATCAGTATCTATCAAAAGGTACAGAGATTCCCACCAACGATGTACTAAAGCGTGTTTCCCCAAGCTTAAAGCCTTGGATATGATGATTCTTCCCATTTTTGCCAGTTTAATGGGTTAAAAAAAAAGTACCCTCTTTTAATCCTTGTTTCCTGACTGTTGTAAGATTGGGTAGCTTTTCGTATATGTAGGCATTTTTGTGTCTTCACAAACACATACCATGTTGATATGTGATTATATTTTTCCTACACATACAGAACCATATTATGTACCCTGCTTTGTGATTTTTTTTCTAAGCTAATAATTTTAATATAAGATGTAAAAACAACCCTTCACTGTAGGAAAGATGATATGCTAGTTTTAGAGACAGACAAGAAACTGTAGCAGATGTTTAAAAGCCTAGTGACAGGTGTTTAAGTGTCATTTGGAGAGAAATCCTTGGGCAGCGTTTTAAACTAATTCAAATATGGAAAACTATATGAAGAGTATGTCTTAGGCCACTATCTTTGCCTTTTGTAATACAAATTAGTTTTTATTGTCTTTGACTACATGTGCTTCCTAAAAATTCCTTTTGTTATTTTCTGGCAAAATAAAATTTCTCGTAAGTTAGGTTTTGGGGATTAATAAATTGGGGATTAATAGTAAATCTTCTCTAAGACTAGGAATCTTTTTAATAGAAAATAAGTTTGAGTATAAAGTTGATCTTTTGCCTTTTAGGCTTTTGTAACTGAGATTTTATCCTTAAAATTTAAATAGTTATGCCAAAAGAAAATAATTTTAAAAGTTTACATTGATGCAATAGTAGTTTTTCTTTTCTGCCTTTCCTAAAGTTGTCCCTCAACTTTGGGTTCTCATGATACCCAAATTGTGATTAAAAAGTTGAAGAATATATGTATTGCTTAGGTATCACAGTATCTTTATTTCTAAAATAATGCTGCCTGTAAATGAACTTTTCAAATTTGTTATTACCTGAGCATTCTTAATTAGGGAACACAGTAATTTTACATGTGAGATAACTAATAAGAGTATATAGACCTTGTCAGGGAAGGAGAAATGGAAATCACCCCAGCCCCTCCACCTCTCATTTCACAAAGGAGAAGAAAGACCGAGGTTGGGGGATCAATAAATTTTCCCAGATTGTGTAGCTACTTAGTATAAGAATGAAAACTAATACGGGATTGAAGGCTTGCATTTGTTTCTCACATCGATTAGTACTAAGTGCTAAGTTTTTAAACTCAGAATGTGCCAGAACTTTGGCACTGGTTTTACAGTAATCTATTTTATCTCTATGAGAACCCCAAAAGGTGAGTGGTACTTCATCTGCTTCACCAACGCAGAAACTAAGGTTAGCGTGGTTGAAGTAACTTGCCCGGCTTTTACATTGCTCACAGAGAAGAGTGTAGATAAGAACTCACTTCTGTTTGATTCTGAAGCACATTACTACTAATATCACTTTTTATCTTTGATTAAATGGAGAAAGGAAAAAAAATCCAAGTGCTGCAGTAACTGAAGGGCATGAAACTTCTCGTCCCATACTTGGTGGTGAATTTCTCTATAAATTATTTTTGACTGAATAAGCATGCCTCTTTCTTTCTGCATGAATCTGTTTTTCTTTTAGGTATCTCGTCATGAACGTCGAATTTCTCAGATTGAACAGTTGAATCAGATGCCTTTGTATCCAACTGAGAAAATCATATGGGATGAAAATATTGTCCCAACTGAGTACTATTCTGGGGAAGGTATGGTAAAGAAATACAGGATTCAGGTGTAATGCGAAACTTAATGTAGAACTCATCAGATGTAACTGGAAATATACTGAAGTCAACACTATACATCAGGGTAATTTTCTGGTACCCTGTAGTTCAATTTTAGAAGGTAGAAGAGAGTATTTTGTATACTTAGCATTAGGCCTTTTATGAAATTTAAACTATACCCTGATGTGTATATCATCTTGCATAAAAAATGACCATAAAACAGAAAGACAGGGGCCGGGGATTTAGCTCAGTGGTGCCTCCGCCTTCCTTGCAAGCGCAAGGTCCCGAGTTTGATCGCCAGTACCAAAACAAACAATCAAAAAACCAGAAAGACAGTGTTTTAAGGAGATTTAATACCACAGGAAGTATAGCTTTCACTGTGTCACTGTGTGAGCTGAGTTGGACAGGGCTTTATTTTTCAAAGCCTTTTTAGAGGTTCTCAGGTTCTTTGTTGAGCCGTGTATTGACCACCAAAAGACATTATCATAGTTGATAATAAACCTTTAATTTTGATCCAAAGTGATAAAGCCTTTTTGTTCACCTTCCTCTTTCATCAGAGTTAATTCGAAGTCTTGTTTGCTCATCTTCTGAGGATGAGTATTTGCCACAACTGCACACATGCACTAGGGCATTCTGCCATAGTTTGAAGGCATGTTTCAAAAGATAGTCCAGAAAATCTTTTCAACAGTGGCGCGTCATTGTTAGAAGAAATGTGACTGTTTTAATGTCACCACAACTTCAAGCACTGGTGCTTTTATTTAAAAGAAAAATTACTTTGGAGTCAGATCCTTGAAACCCAACTCCAATAAAACCAGTGTACTTATTTTGCTAGGTTTCAGAATAGGCAGTCTTCATATCTTTTTATATTCTTCCAGTGGTGAATGTAATTTTTGTCTTCTAGGGATACACGCTTAGGTAATAAAACTATAGAAATTGGAGCTAGTGATCGCTATAAAAGTCAGGAAATAGTTACTTTTAGGCGGAGGAAGGAGCTATAACTGGGAAAGGGCACAAGGGAGAGTCCTAGATAGCTGCAAAGTGGTTACAAGGTTTTCCTTTAAAAATATCTTTTCCTGGTGTATATCCCTATACCCTTTCCCTTTCCTTCTGTTGGAGAATGTGGGTTGTTCAAGCTGCAGTTTCCCACAGCAAGGTGTAGATTTTTCAGATTGACTACTCTTGATGCAGTGAAGCATACTGTTCTGCACATCGTTTTTCTTAGAAACTGGCACCTGGGTCTGGACGCTTCAGCAGACCAAGGTCCACTCCTGGGCAAGACTCTTGGCAGTTGTGTATTTCTTCAAGAGCTCACACTCTTTGCCACTCCCTCTCTTTTTTTTGGTACTGGGGATCGAACTCGGGTCCTTGTGCTTGCGCAGCAGGCTGTGAAACCACGGAGCTAAATCCCTGGCCCTGCTGCTCTCTTTTGTGATGCGAGTAGTCACTGATATATTGATACAGCTAGATTTTATTAATTCAATGAAGGTTGCAAAGCAGTAACACTTTGATTCAGCCTTTTTAAAAAAAAAATATACTTATCAAAAGAGATGCTTTTTCTCAGCCTCTGGTCTTAAAGAAATTGCATTAAATTACAAGTCAGAGTTTGCTAATATAAATGATGTAAAATTTTTGTCCAGTGTTTTTTTACCTTTTAAGTTCTTTCATTATTGCTTTGATAGTGTGGATAAGGATCATGGAAATATAATTTGCCAGTAAAATTACATGGGGGTTCTTTTTTCCCCCCCTGGTTGATAGTGATATGATCAATTGCTTAATTATCCAAGAAAAATAGTGTTCAGGGAGGAAAATGGGAAGAATATTGTTCATTAACATAGTCAGAAAAGAGGAAGTTTCAATAACATGTGAACAATGCTTGGTCCTTAAAAATCTAGCCAGAGATAAATTCAGCACAACAGTGGTCACTGGAAATCTGTTTATACAGTGTAATGTGCTACTTTTGTTTGCATGGTAAATTTTGTCAGGAGCTAAGTTTATGGTATTATTACTTTAAGGCTTGGCAGATAAAAATTGGGTTTTGATAAAAGAAGAAAATGTTTTGTTCTTGTTTTTGTTTTTGAGACAGGGTCTTGCTATGTAGTTCAGGCTGGCTTTGAACTTAGTATGTAGCCCAGGCTGGCCTTGAACTACCTTATCTTCCCAACCACTCCTAGCTATAAGACTTCCAAGCTACTTGATACTATGCTAATGTTAAGTATCTTTGAATGCTTTTAAGAAGCATTGTTTACATATGAACCATGATATGCTGATTATACATAAAAGTAAATTCATCCTTCACCCACAGTTCTTAGCAGGTAGAATTTGTTAATCTGGTTTGAAATTCTGTGTGAAAATAAAGACAAGACTTTATCTAATATATTGCATTTCAGACATCGTTAGGTTCTAACCACATTTGTGGTACTATTTTTTTTTAATGCATCAATTACATGATAGATTAAAAGAATAATTCAAATGTGGACATCATTTTCCTTTTCAGGTTGCCTTGCTCTTCCCAAGTTAAATTTGCAGTTTTTGACTCTTCATGACTACCTCCTAAGGAATTTTAATCTCTTCCGCTTAGAATCAACTTATGAAATTAGGCAAGACATCGAGGACAGCGTCAGCAGAATGAAACCATGGTTAGTAGACTGGCTCACTTTAAGGAAGAGATGTGTACAGTGACTGATATTCTTCTGTCAGAAAATTCATAATGTATTGAAAAATAACCCACTTGGCATGAAAATGCCTTCCAGGAGAGATATTTCCTCTTTGAGAATTTCTTTAATGTGAATTAAAATATATCAGTGTGCTAAAATATAAAATATGTTTCTGAGTACTCGTTGGCAGGGCTGGTACCTGAGGAAGAGGGAGGAGAGGAGAGGAAGACATTCAGAGGGAACTAGGCTGGACCTTAGTAGGAAGGTAAAGAGGGAGGGGTATGCAGTCCTCTACTAGGGCAAGATGGGTCGTTTTAAGTCCTGGATGAAACTTCCAATAGAAGGGTCTTCCTCTACCCCAGCTGCACTCAGGACCATTGCTAGTAGCTTCCTCATTGTCTCTGTGGGAACTGGCTGGGTGAGGAGTGTTGCTGAACTGCACAGGGCTGGGCACACTGGAGAGTCTTCTCTGGCTTACCAAGCATGGAGAGTACCTTGAAGAGACCGAGTCAGCCGAGTAGATCTAGTTATTTGAGGAACACTTCCGGTTAAACTTGACTCTATGCCACCTGTTATTTCTCTTCTGGAATTTGTTTAGCTAGGAAAATTCTTATTCTGGTTTTAGTAGACAGCTCTGGATTATGAGTTGCTTTAAGACAGGGTCTCGATATGTAGCCCAGGCTGGCCTTCAACTCCTGGTGACCCTCTTCCTGCCTCAGCCCTCCAGGTGCTGAGATTATAGGACTGCGCTGCCACATCTGGCTGCATTATGAATTTGTGAAGATTAATTTTTGTCTTTTAGACATGAGTGACTTGGATAAATGCTCTTTATTCATTATCTCATTGAAATAGGTGGACATAAGTTATATAGCTCACAAGTATGAGTAAAATTTTGTGAAATGAATTTTCTTTACCATATATTCATACCATGTACAGGTGTATAGTTATTCTACATTTTATATGAAACATTGTTTTCAGTGTGAACTGATTCAGGTATCTTCCAGACTCCTCTCTCTACAAATTACAGAGAGCTACCATGGACACTGTGATTATGATCTCTTATTTTCACTTCCATATTTTATTTTATACACAGTTCTATTTTTTAATTTATTATGTGAAAAGTTATTCTAGGTCAGACTATAAAACACAGCACAAAGTATTTTTGGCTTAATAATCAGTTGAGTCAGTAAGCCGGGTAGAACTGTGAAATTTGCATACCCACTGGCTGATCGTCCCTGCCCACAGCTCCGCTGAAATCACTGCCCATTGTTCAGACCCCGCGGGAGTGCTTGCTTCGAAAACTTCCTTGAAATTTATGATTACCTTGAGTTTGTATGTTTAGGTTTAGTGCCTAATTTTGGCCATTTTGTAAAATATAGATTTAGTAACTATAGCAGTTCAACAAATAGAATTCACTTGTATTTTATATAAATGCTAAATAGAACAAAAATACTTAGAGTTCCTATGGTCTATTAATAGAGATAAATGTTTTAATTAAATTTTTGGTAAGAAAGAATATGCCACTTTTTGGAGTTAATTCATTTACATTTGTAATAATAAATTTTTCTAAATTTACCTTCTTCATGCCCATATTTGAAAACTTAAAAAATGATGAGATTAAAAAAAGGGGCCAGTCTTCTTTCTGTACCATGTACCCTAAAGGTGGAAAAGTAGCTGAGGCATTTTTACTCATTACATGTTTCTAATGATCATGTTCTCAGGATACTGAAGTCATGAGCAGCAGTAAGCATGTTAAAATGCTTTGTGTTTTAAGTAGATTTTATAAGGAAAAGGGATAAGGGAAGTAGATTTGTGGTTCCCTGGTTATGGGAGCAGGAATTGCCTACAGTTGAACAAGAAAGATCTTTTAAAAGAACAATAGAAATGTTCTAAAAATTAGATTTTATATATATAATGTGACTGTACATTTGTGAATTTACTGAAAAATTTTTCAGTTGAATCTTTGTACATTTATAATGAGTAAATTTTAGTGCAGTGAAACTATAAAAAAAAAAATGTAAGAAGTGCTAGAAAGTCATTTAATAAGAGCTTACACAAGCCTTCCCTTCCACACAACCCATGCCAGTATTAAGTCGCTAGATTCAGAACTTTTTTTTCCTCTTTCAAGTTTTTTGTTGAGAAACAAAGCCTTTATGTTGGATGTACTTTATTTTTGTTAGTATATTACCTCTGGCAATTTTTGAAGGCCACCGGGTTTTTATGTTACAGATTTCCCAAATAGGCTCTGTAAAAACTAAAGCAGGAGTTAGACTAACATAAGAAAGAATGGGTATTTGGATGTTAGTGGTTCTAGTTTTTACAATCAGCTTTTTTTCTCCAGTCCATGATTACAATTTGTTCAAAAAATGTATTTAAAGCAGCTTATAGAAATACAGTACAGAAGCCTATTTGATGAAGAGAGGAAGGATAAGAAAATAAAGTAAAACTAAATAAAGCTGTCCATCAGAAAGGAAGGAGAGATAAACCAAAGCTGAAAGTGTTCACCACCAGTAGGTTTGCCTTCCAAGAAATGCTAAGGAAAATTCTTTAAGCTGAAATGAGAGGATCCTGAATAGTAACATGGAGAAACCCTGACTCGCTAAACTAGTCATGATCAAGTAGAACAAAGCTGGAGGCATCACACTTCCTGATTTGAAATTATATTACAAAGCTTCTGTAATCAAAACAGTAAGCTACAGGTATAAAAACCAGACACAAAAGCCAATAAAAAAAGAAAAGAAAACCTAGGAATAAACCTAGACATATGCAGTCTACTAATCCTTGAGACGTGCTAAGAATACACAAAGATAGTTTTTTTCAATAAATGGTATTGGGGGAAAAAGGATGTCTGTATGCAAAAAAATGAAATTGGATCTCTGACTTATGCCATACTCAGAAGTGAACTCAAAATAGACTAAAAGCTTAAACATAAGACCTGAAACTATAAAACTCCTAGATGAAAATGTAGGAAAAAAGTTTAAGGACTCGTCTTAGCAGTGATTTTTGGATTTTTGGATAAAACACTAAAGCACAGGGAACAAAAGCAAAAATAAATTGGGACTACATCAAACTACAAAATTTCTGCACAGCACAGGAAACAACAAAATAAAAAGCTGTATGGAATGGGAGAAAATATTTGCAAGCCCTTTAGTCAATAAGGGTTAATACCCATATATAGGGAACTCTTACAACTCAATAAGAAAAAAACCCAAAATTAAAAAAATGACAGAGGATCTGAAGAGACGTTTTTCCAAAGAAGTTAAACAAATGGCTAACAAGTATAAAAAAATAAGTTCAAATAAGCAATACTCAGGGGATTGGAAATCAGAGATGACCACCTCTTACCTGTTAGGATGGCTATTAGCAAAAAGTCAGAATGTTGGGCCAGGGATTTAGCTCAGTGGTTCTGCCTCCTGCCTCGAAAGCACAAGGTCCTAAATTGGATCCCCGGTACCAAAAAAAGAGAGTGTAAATATTGGCAGGAATGAGGAAAAAGGGACCCTTATGCACTGTTGTTTGCAATGTAAATTAGTACAGCCGTTGTTGAAAGCCATATAAATTCCTGAAAAATTAAAAATTGAACCATATGACCCAGCAGTTCGACTTCTGTGTATATATATATTTAAAAGAAATAAAAATACTGTCCCAAAGAGATTTTAGTATTCATTGAAGCATTATTCACAATAGCCGGAGTATGGAAATAACCCGTTTCCATCAAAAGCTGAGTAATAAAGACAGTGTGAAAGTGTGATGTAAATGTATGCACACAGTGTAGAACATTAAAAGCCTTTAAAAGGGGGGAAATCCTACCATTTTTTGGTAGCATGGGTGAACCTGGAATACATTATGCTGAATGAAGTAAGCAGATACCGAAAGACAAATGCTGATGGTTTTATGAACCTACGGAATCTGAAAAGGTTGAGCTTGGAAGCAAAGTAGAGGGATGGCTGTGTGGGCTGAGGCTGGAAGACGGGGAGATGGCGGTCACGGTGCGCAGACTTTCAGTGACATGACGCACACGTCTGAGACCTGGTGTCCACAGTAGTTACTATAGTTAGCATACGCTTGGGATTTACTGGAAGAGCAGGCCTATGAGAAGAGTATTCTCGTGGTCCCCAAAATAGTAGCTGTGTGGTGATGGGTATATTAACCACCTTGATTTTGGTAATGATTTTGCAATGTGCATGTATATCAAAACACCACATATTCCTTAAATATGTATAATTATTTTCTGTCAGTTATACCTTAATAAAGCAGAAATGAAGTTGTGTTCGATTATTTTTCTCTTTGATAAATTGACAGACCTGCAGAGTGCTTTTATATAAAAAGTATTATATTTTTATTGTCAGAGCTGAAGGGATATACCTCTGGTTCCCTTTCATTTCTGAACTGTGTTTGTTTATTTCATACTATCATATATGTTCCTTCTATATTGACTTAAATTTTTTATTTTTTTATTTATCTTTTTCTTTTTTAGTTTATAAATAAGGGTTACTAATTTTAGGACTGAAAGTACTAGCTGAACATGTATTCTTACCAGTTTTACCTGTATAAAAATTGAAGTTATCTTCTTGTTTGAGTAATCATCTGCTTCTTTGCTCTCCAGGCAGTCCGAGTATGGTGGTGTAGTGTTTGGTGGCTGGGCACGGATGGCTCAGCCCATTGTGGCTTTCACTGTAGTTGAGGTTGCCAAACCCAACATAGGTGAAAACTGGCCAACCCGAGTTCGTGCGGATGTCACCATCAATCTGAATGTCAGAGATCACATCAAAGATGAATGGGAAGGTAATTTTGTATTTCAAAATGTGAAGTTACTGTTGGCCTCTTTAGTATATAGGTTTTTCACTGAGCATTACCAAAGTACTTTATTAAATATTATTCTCTTAAACTTTTATTAAATTTTATCCTTAAAATTTGATTTAAAGAATAGCAATTGTCTTTCTAATTATTAGTATTAAAAATACAAAGAATCATTTAAATGTTTTTGTCTTAGTACTTTATTGAAAAGCATAAAATCACATATAAAGTATTTTGAAATTGCAGTTTGCATAGCTGAGCAGAAACCATTTTAAGTAATATATTTAGTAAGAAAATTTTTATGGATTTGTAAGATCAATATAAAAGGAATAACAGCAATGTTCACTAAAGAAAAAGAGTGTAAGGATGTATATACTTCGAGGAGGATAAAGACCATAAAAGGAATTTGGGAAGAGGGGCCAAGATACAACAACTCAGAAGGAAATAACTTATTTTTATCAAAGGAAATCAAAGGATCAGTGAAATCAGTTTTATTCAAGGATACATAACAATTGTAGAGAAATTAAACTGGCTACTTTCTGTATTTTTTCTAGGAGAATTCTGTGTCAGTTTTTTTCAGAAGCAAGTATGTTAAAGTTAAGTCAAAGAGAGTTAAGCCATTGCCAACACCTGTGCCAGAAATGGCACATAAGCTCATTTGCAATTGTCACTTTTATATTTTTACTGCAGCTGTCAGTGAGACCCCTTGCTTGCTGCCCTGTTAGTGAGAAAGAGCTGGTGTGTTTAATCTCCTGCTACCTTCTTTGCATGCCGGAAGGAAAGCGATAGTCCCTAATGGACTCGTTTTCAGAAATTATTGCTCCCAATATAGCTACAACTATGGAGAGTATATATATTCATCAAAGAATTCTGAAGGAATCTAGCAACGAAGCTGGCCAAATGTTTAACACATGGCTACTCTAGTGGGTATGGCTTGTGACAGATTGTTTTTGTAACTCCTGTATCCTTCAAAAGAGTTCCAGTCTATTGCATTACACATCTAGAATAATGTGCATCATTATTGCTGAACCTTGAGAAGGACATTAAGTTGGTGGAGACGGTCATGTTCTTACTACCGTTGGTTGAAATTTAAGGGTGTATTAAACACTGTTTTACACACTGAGTAATCAACTGAGATAACTTATTGGGTACTCCCCAAAATAGAAGTGATTGGAAATTGTGAAAGACCTTTTGTAGGAGTTTATAGATGACAGGTGACAGGTCTGCTTTATAGTGTTAAGGAGGAAAAGGGGGTTTTACCTGAAACTCCCATTGTTTTGGAGACTGCTATCAGAGATAGATATTTTGTTTTGTTTTCAGAGAACAGGGTTGTACATGTAGCTCAGACTAGGCTTGACTATGTAGCCTAGGGCTGGCTTTGAACTTGTCCCAGCCTCCTGAGTCTCCTGAGTGCTGGACAGTGTGCACCACCACATCCAGCTTGCTTCTTTCCCTTTTTTTTCTTTTTCCTTTTCCTTTTCCTTTCCCTTCTCCTTCCTTCCTTCATCTCCCCTCTTCTAGGCTCCCTCCCTCTCCCTTGTCCTCTCCTCCCCCTCCCCTTCCTACTCCTTTCTCTTCTCTTCTCTCTCGCTCTCTGTCTCTCTGTCTCTCTGTCTCTCTCTGTCTCTCTGTCTTTCTTCGATGGACAAGATAGGGAGCAATAGAGTATCTTAGGGTAAGTGATTCATGTTATGGGATATGGCAGGGAGAGAAGTGGTTCTTTATAGGCCAGGGCCCAAATTCAGCCCCTGTGATGATTGCAGATGGTTAACCCAATAGAAAATGGGAACAAACATGAGAAAGGTTCTGTAAACAGTGATTCATATTGCATTATAAAAATGGAAAATATTTTTGAAAAATATAAACTAAAAATTATAAAAATGTTCCTCTTGTCCCTTCAAGAAGATTCAAGCTCGGGTCCTAATTTTCTCCATCAACCCCATTTAACATTAAAGAAACAAGAGTTGGGCATGGTGCTGCACACCTGTAGCCCTAGCTACTGGGGAGGCTGAAGTGGGACGTCACCTAAGCTCAGAAGTTTGAAACAAGTCTGGATAACATAGCAAGACTCCATCGGGAAAAAGAAGAAAAAACTAAAAAAGAATGAAAGGGAATGCTGAATGCTGGGTTCTGCTCCTGAAAGCACAGCTAGGAAGGAGTAGGTACCTGATTGGACAGTGAGAGAGAGAGTTGCGTTCATTGTAATAAAGGTTTACAAAAATGTAAACCTAAGATATCTCATTATGAAATGGCCTGCTTTAGAAGAGAGCAGATGATTGTCCCTCACAAATGCCAAAAAGTGACATTAGGAAGGTCTCAGGGCCACTTCTTTGGCTCTAAGCCCATTTTTCTCCACGGCTTAGAAGTTTTGATGAGTTACGCAGATTAGAAGTTGTATAAAAGTATAATTCAGGCAGTAGAACAGTTCTCTTTAGTTCTTGTTGTCTTCCAGTTTCTTTGCATAGAATTTTATTATTATGAATCAGATATTTCAGCTTTACCCACCCGAACACAACTACAAATAAAAACAAACCATAATGGCTCAAATGCTATTAGCCACACATTCACATAACTGATTTAACTTAGTTGTTTATCTTGTTACTAAGATTATAAGCAAGCAGACTATTTAAATTTTAACTGTAGAGTGACAAACAAAAATGGGTCAGAAAAGAATTGAAGATTAAGTCTGTGACATTATATGCTGTGAAGGTTAGTTTTAATTTCCCTTGTCTTCCAGAATCTGTACTTTTAATAGAACTAGGAAGCGAGTTGACTCCATTATTTAATTTGATGATGGAAAAGCTTTGGACTTTGTGACATTCACTTATAAAAATGTTCACTACTTGCCAGTGTATCTATTCAAAGATAATATATGTGCTAGCACTGTTGTGCCTCAGTGGATTATTCGTATGTTGACCTGTTTTAGTGGAAATACAGTTAGGCTGCATTTGGAATGGCAATAATAGATTGCTTAAACTGGTGTTAGAAACCTGTTAAATATGATATAGATGAATTATATGCCAGCCATATTTTTGGTTACTTATTAAGAATGTTAAAAATAAGAATGATGATAAGCACCCAATTTTGGAGCTGTAGCTCAACTTGGAAGGCTTACTCAGGAATGAGTTCATGATATTAAAACTTTATAAGGTATAAAAAAGGTTTTTATTTTAATTACTGCTGTGAAGTATTGAGTATTAAAAATGATAGGAAAACCCATAATTATATAATGCAAATATAATCATTGGTCACCCTGGTATTTAAATTTTTTATATCTCTGATATAAGAGATTGAGAATCTGCCAACAAAGCACTGAAAATGATGAAATTCTAATAAATGAAATACATCTTTATTTTTTGCTAGGTCTTCGTAAACATGATGTGTGCTTTTTGATTACTGTACGTCCCACAAAACCTTACGGTACTAAATTTGACCGCAGGAGACCTTTTATTGAGCAGGTCGGCCTCGTTTATGTCAGAGGCTGTGAAATCCAGGGCATGCTGGATGATAAAGGGCGTGTCATCGAAGATGGTATGATCATCTCTATATTTGAGAATGTATGCATAAAGAATGATTAATTTCTTTGCCTCTTTTCCTTTGCTTCTTAGGTCAAATTTTTAGTTGTTTTGCATACTAAATCAACACAAAAAATAACGCACAAAATATGTGTAAGCTACCTACTTCATATAGGTAAAAGCACAAAAGTTCTATGTTAGATGTATTGTACCTCATAAATGTGTGCAATTGTCATGTTGCAATTAAATATTTTCTTAAAAAGCTTCTGTGATACGTATTGGAAAGGACAAGCTACGGAAATTACCTTTCTTCTCATCTTCCTTTCTATAACTGTTTTAAAAACCTCAATTTTTTCTGGTTGTTTAAGCTACTTTTGTGTTTAGTGATATATTTGCCTAGTATTTTCTTCAAAAGTTTTATTGTATCGTTTTGTTATAAGTGTAGTTCTCAACTGGGGATAGTCCTGCTGTGCATCTGGGAATATATAGTGATATTTAGATTGTCAGATAACGAGGGAGGGTGATTAATGCCAAGCTATTGGCATGGCATTTGGTGGACTGGGTCCTTGCATGCCAAACCTCCAATTAGAACTGTCTCATAGAAGGAACTGCCCTGCCTGAAATCCCAGTTACCCCCATTTAAAAACTGCTTTACGGCAGTAGGCTGCTTTTGAATTTTTATGCCTATGACTAATTATGTCTTTGAAATTCTTTATTCTGTTGAAGTGATTCCTTTCCTAAAAATGCTTGTAAAATTAAAGCTGCATTTATGGCTAGTGCTTATTTTACAGTTTGTTTGCTAAACGCTCCTCAAAACTTGAGTCAGTTTCTAGCACCTGTGATTTTGAGACCACATCATTGCTGAACAACTGATGGTTAGACTATTCATCTCTAGAATAAAAGGAGGTAGGAGAAGGGAATGGTGGTAGGGTGGAATAATCATCAGGCTGCAGAAGGGACAAAAAAAGCCTCTGGGGATTCAGCCTTCAGGATCCCATATTTCTGTGCACCTTTCATGCTGGTGACACTAAGTGGTATGTGAGAGGTTAGGAAGAACCTATGTCAAAGTAAGTCAAATAGACTTAATCAGCAAATATGTATTACATATTTACTATATGTAAGGCATTAGTAAGAACTATGAGTGACTGACAAAAGATAAATTCTTTGACCTTTAAGAGCTCTTATTTTAGTTGAGGCCATATATGAATATTGCAGTTCATGGAACTGCATCATAAACATTACATGACTTGGAAGAAATAGTAAGGATTTAGAGAAAGGAGAAAATACTTTCTGCTTCTTGGAATTTGAAGTGTATGAAAAGAGGGCATTCTATTCAGGAGGAATGATTAGAGTTACTAGAAAAGAATTCCTGTTACTTTAATATTTGAAACATTTATATTTCTTTTAACGAACCAAAATGTCCAGGACCTGAGCCGAGACCCAATCTTAGAGGAGAATCAAGGACATTTCGAGTGTTTTTGGATCCAAACCAGTATCAGCAGGATATGACCAATACTATACAAAATGGAGCAGAAGATGTGTATGACACTTTCAATATAATAATGAGGAGAAAACCAAAAGAAAATAACTTTAAGGTAATTTTCAGGCCACATAACTAAAAGTATGTGTGTCATAATTTAATTAATCTTAAGCCATAAATGCATAGCTATTGGATAGTAGATTTGTTAAGAAAATAATCAGTGCCTTAATTGTTATTCTAATCCTCTTCAATTCTTAGCATATTGATTATAATTTAAGGAAATTTATATACAAAATCTCTGTTGCCTTGAGGTGTTAAAAAACTGAAATATACAGGAATCCAGGTCAAGGTCACCCTCCTTCCTTGCTTTTTTTGTACAGTATTAGGTCCTCAGTTCATGCCTTCTTATGAGGTAAAGGAAAACGGTTTACTGATTTACTGGGGCTTCTTTTTAAGTTTAAAAGTACTTCCAAATATCTTTCAGAATACACATATAGAACCCAATGGCTCTGAATTATTCTATAATATATACTTTATTAGCAGGAAGAGGCGCTTTGGGGGACTTACAGTTTTATTTTTAGAGTTTTCGAAGAAGAGTTTTAGATAAGGAAGATTTGCACTGAGGACTTCCATCATTTGATAGCATCTAGCTTTTGTACAGTATGCCTTTCTTTCCTCTCTGCCCCAAGTGCAGTACTTCTTTTGTATTCCTGTCACTTTATTACCTTTTCTTATTCATTGCTGTGGAAAAAACAAAAAAATAAAACTTTCCAAGTTGCCCTCCTTCTCACTCTGTTGAAGACAAAAACGGTGGAGATACCCGAATTCCCTCTGTCTCATACTCCACATCCAACCATTAATAATATGACGAGCAGACCACCTCTTCTGATGCTGAATCCGGACACCTTCCTCCCTCCCTGCTTCCACTCTGTCTTCTCCTCCCCTTAAACTGTTCTTCACATAGCAGCTCCGTGACCCTTCCTAAATGTAAATTACACTCTGCTGTACCTGTCGTCAATCTTTAATGGTTTCCCATCACATCAGAAACTTCTCACCATAATCCAGAGGACCTGTCATGTCCCCTCCATTCCTCTCTCATTTTCTCATTTATCTTTTTCAACTCATAGCAGCCATACTGACTTTTTTCTGTTCTTTAATAATCCAAGACTTTTTACCTGGTATTCTCTCTACCTATACAGTTTTCCTCAGGTATATATATATATATA